AGATTTTATTTATTTGCTCATGAGAGACACAGAGGGCAGAGACACAGGCAGAGGGAGAAGCAGGCTCCCTGCAGGGAGCCCTATGCAGGACTCAATCCCAGGACCCTGGGATCATGCCCTGAGCTGAAGGCAGATGTTCAACCACTGAGCCACCCAAGTGCCCCACACACTCACATAATTGCCTGCACTTTTCTGCCATCTGATGAGACCAGTGAAGCATTGCGTGTGCGCATGTGCATGTGCGTGTGTGTGTGTCTGGTAGAAACTCAGCAGATACCTGTGAGCTGTTCAAACTGCTCCTAACAGTTAGTGTTCCTGGCCTGATGTTTGTGAAAAAACAAGGGGCAAGCATTGTAGCCAGATGGGTGTAGGGCTGGGCTAGACCCCAAGGATTGGCAGTTTCACTGGAGATGTGTGTAGTTGGGAATACCCGAATGAGTATATTTGTGTCCAGTAAAATCTGGCTTAATGAAAGAAATGTTGATGCTCTAAGGCCAGTGTTTGTAATCTTACTTTGTAAAGGGCCAGGTAGTAAGTAGTCTGTGCTTTGTAGGCCCTTTAGGGCTCTGCTGCATATTCTTCTTAGGGCAGACAATAACTTGTGGACTCCTGTTCTAAAGGAAACTGAGGCTGGAAGCTCCTCCCTCTGTCCTGTCCAACCGAGGGGCATTAAAGTGAAAAGTGTGCGGCCCCTCCCCCACAGATGCTGTTTCCACAGCAACGGTGGCTCTGTCTAGTTGCCTGTTAGCATCCCGGGTTTAGGTGGGAATAGAGAATCCAGTCCTGGATGAATGGTAAGAGGTGGCTACTTTGACAATAAATCATCTGTAATTCTGTGGCTCTGGGGTGTTAATGCTGACGTTGTTTGAGTTTTAGAACTGGCTGGGACTTGTGAAATCTTGTTTTGGCTCCTCAATTCTGTAGACAGGGAAACTGAGGGCAAGGGAGGCCAGTAATCCGCCAACAGGTGCAAAACTTGGTTAAAAAGTAGGAGGGGGCACTTCCCCAAATTGCATGTACAGTATGTGTCCTGTTCTGGCTTCCCCGAGGCACGCTGGTTGCCAGGGGTGGGAAGCATTTCACCTGAACCTAGTAGGCACTCAGATAGCATTTGCTGAATGGTTGGACTTCTCGTTGGGGTCAAGCAACAGCTGTTGACCAATTAACAGCCTTAGACACAATTCTAAGTTCTTAGGAGAGTGGATCCCATTTGTTCCAGGTTTTTCTTCAGCTTTTTTTCCCCCTGGGGGACCAGGAGTGGGAATGTGGTCAGGCTCCTGGCCTCCTTTGTGGGGTGAGGGTGGGGACTGGTCAGTTGTGGGAAGCGTTGACCCGAGAAGACCCAGGAAGGCTCTCTGCATTCACTCTAACCTCTGCCCACAGGCCCAGGTGGTGCAGAATCAAAGGAAGGTCTGTTTGTATTAATGAACTGTAAGAAGTTTGTACTAACAGATTTTAGGGAGACTTTTTTAGTACAATCTGTAGAAACAAGGATTTTTCTGGTCAAGTTTCAGAATTAAAAGACATTTGATGTGTAGAAGCAAAGCACGTTAGGATTTCACGTGGAAATTGGATAGCCCAGAGTGGCTGGTAAATAATAATTTTTCCTTCTCTTGCCTTTGTCAGTTTGGTTTTTAATTCAGTAAAGAACTCTAGTTGTCTGAATTTAAATTAACAGTGCTAAATCTGTGATTCTGCAAAGTGTATTCTGGTTTCATTCAGTAATGTTGGCAGGGTGACTGGTCAGGTGAGCGCTGTAGTCAGGGACAACAGAGAGGTAGCTGCTGGGTACCGTTTTTCAATATTGTGCTAAAGCAGAAAATCCTAGGGCAGGTTTTTTATTAATTAGCTTGGTGACCCTGAGTGGGTCGCATCACCTTTGTGGGCTGGACATATGGAGGGGTGGGTCCAGCTTGCAGCATCCCAGGCCGAGCTCAGTGCTGGGAGCATGGTAGTGCCTGATAAAAGCCTACTGAATGAGTGTATTTTCTGTTGTTGTAACCAGTTACCATAAATCCAGTGACTTAAAACAGTGCAAATGTAGGGGAGCCTGGGTGGCTCATTCCGTTAAGCATTGGCCTTCAGCTCAGGCCATTATTGCAGGGTCCTGGAATCCAGCCCCATGTCCTCTAGCTCCCTGCTCAGTGGGGAGTCTGCTGCTCTCTCCTCTCCTTTCTCCCTCCCCCTCCCTTTCCCTAGCGCGTTCTCTCTCTCTCTCTCTCAAATAAAATCTTAAAAAAAAAAATGCTGCAAATTTATCCTCTTACAGTTTTGGAGATCAGAGGTCTGAAGTGAGTCTTACTGGGCTACATAAAGATGTGGGTGGGGCTGGTTCCTTCCAAAGGCTTAGGAAGGGAGAGAATCTTTTCCTTGCTTTCTCCCATCTTCTATGGGCACCTGCAGCCCTCTGCTATGGCACCTCCCAACCATGAAGAGTGCTCCAGCCTTAGCTACCGATGCTACAGCTTTCTGACTCTGGCCTTCCTGCTCCCCCTTCTTGGGACCTTGTGATTACTGTGAGCCTGCCCACATAATCCAGGATAATCTCCCCATTTCAAGATCCTTATGTTAATCATATCACTAGAATGCCTTTTGCTGTGTAAGGTAAGGAAGTCACAGATTCCAGGAATTAGGATGTGAACTTTTTGGTTATGTGGCCTGCCACATGAGTTTGTAAAAAGAGTGCTAAGTAAACAAGTCCCGAAGTGTCTTGATCACAGTCCACATCACAGTCCACAGAATTATCTGCTCTGCATTGGTACCTCCCCATTTCGGTGGGCCCTGCCCTGCCCCCTCCCTGAAAAGTAGGGCTTCTCCCTGGCGGCCAGGCTATTTCCCACCTGGAGACCTTGAAAGTGCTTGTTCAAGACTACCTTTCAGATCTGAGGTCAGCAAACCTTTTCTCCTTGTGGCATTGAGGGCCATGTAGGGTGTCACATATTCATTTTTTTTTTAAAACAACTGTGAAAAATGATTTAAAGAAATCATTCTTAGTTTGAGGGCTTATAAAAAACACAGGCCATTGGCTGGGATGCTGACCAGCATTTGCTGTTGCAGACTGTAAGCTCTGAGGCAGGGGCCACATGCTGCCATCACCATGGTGACAATCTCAAGGGCTTCTGTTAATAATGTGTTGGGGTGTGTGTGTGTGTTTCATGTTCCTATCTGAATGATCTTTTGATTTGATAGAAGTATATAAATGTTAGACCTCATCCAATCCTAATGGAGAATTTCAAGTTGATTTACATTTGAGAGCCTGTTAAATACCGGTTATTCTGAAGAAAATAAAACCCAGTCCCTGTCCTGAGGGGCTTGCTGTCCAGTGTGGGGGAAGAATGCAGCTGTTACTATGACTTTTGGACATGGAGCAGAAACTCACTGGAGCCAGCTCTGGGTAGGGAAATTTAAAAATAAAGGGGTGTGTTATGGAACCCTGGGGCACCAAAATCAGAATTTGGACACTTTGGGCCAGTTTCTGTCCTTGGTCATTTTTTGCTCCTGGCCTGTGAGGCAGACACTGTAGGGGAGGCTCTGACATGTAAGCTTCTTGGGAGCTTTGAGCACTTCGGGGCACTTGTGGTTTATGTCTTCATTGAGGCTGACTCTCCTACAGATTTCATTCATTTTCAATACTTAATCAAATGAATGAAAGGATGGAGGTACCTGGTTTTGTGTAAGAACCAGCTTGGTTCGCCCTTGGCCTGGCCTGGCGCTACTCTCCGTGTGCCTGGAGTTGTGTGATGTCACTGTTACCCTTTTTCTGGCCCCATTTTGTAAGTGATATTTGCTCCCTGTGGTTTTTATAAAGTCTTGGATCATAATATATAGGATTTTATCGTAAAGTCATCCCTAAAGGTACAGAATGCTTTACCAGCATACTGTATGTATTCCTTCTGGCCTGTGTGACTTCAAAATAGGACAAAGCAGCAAACCATGCTGTGGCTGCTACCACCAGGCGCCTTTTCTTATCACTGAATGAATGTTTGTACAGTTACCTCTGACGTCCGTATTAGCTGGATGTCCAGGTTGCTGCTTTAGCTTTCTTCCCCATACATTAACTCCAATGGGAAGTAATGATTGCTTTTACAAGTTGATTTTTCCTGATCAAGTTTTAGGAACTATAGCCAAGAACCCATTGAGTAATAGAATAAAAGACATGGAGGCTCTTAGTCCCCAGGGCCTGCCATGTGGCACTCACTCACCCTTGGCAGGCACACACTCAGTATTTGAATGAGTGAGTAACATGCTAATAGACTTGTACAAGCCTGTAGGAAATTAGAGTGTGGCAGAAGGAAGGTGCTGCTTTCTTGGTTGTCTTGTCAAGATTTATAAGTGGAGGGGGCAATGGAGCCAGTAAGCCCCCCTCCACCTCCGTGGTCTCTCCCTGGGGGGTGCTGCTGCTGCTTCTGTGTCTGCACCCCAGAGAGCCCTGCTTGTGTTGCCTGAGCAGACGCTTTTTCTTTGGATGCTGGTTCTTTGGTTTGCACACACCCAGCTGTTCCTGAAGACTTACTGTTTTTGGTTGTTTCCCTTTGATTTGGTTTAGCTCATCCTTGAAATGAACAGCCTTCCATAAGCAGGTTGTGTATCTCCTCTACTCTGCCTTATTTTTGATGTTCTGTGGATGTGCTACAGGGATGAGCAATTTTTCCGTCTTGAAGAGCTGTCCTTGACTTGGCAACAGGACTCAGGGTGGAAAAGTTTACATTTCGGTGTTGCTGGTGAGCAGTCAACTCTGCTCAGTTCAGGCAGAATAGGACTTCTTATTGTTGGTGGTGGGGAAGGTACCTACAACAAAATGCTCTTTAAATGTGAGTAAAGCTGCCTGTTTGTGGTAAGGGCATTTTTCTAGGGATAGAATCCAGGGCTTCCTTTGGGCCTTCAAGGAGATCTCTGATCCTTGAGGAATTCAGTCCAGCGGCTCAGGGATTCTGGTGGATTAATGTGCGCTCTCTCTCTCTCTCTCTCTCTCTTTTTTTTTTTTTTTTTTCATTTTAAAGGCAGATCAGGAGCGGTGCCGAGAAAAATTTCCTTACTAGATGACATTTCATCGCAATGTCCGATCGTTTGGGGCAAATAACCAAGGGCAAGGATGGGAAAAGCAAGTATTCGACTCTCAGCCTGTTTGATAAGTATAAAGGAAAATCAGTAGACGCGGTCAGATCCTCAGGTAAGAACGGGTGTGGAGGCCAGTTCTCTATGCTTTTCTGTACATGAGAAACCCCAGGTCAGGAACAGTGAAGACCCAGAGTCCCCACCTGGTCAGACTACCTTCAGGGTGTGCGGTGGTCACCTGGCAGTTCTGGGGATGCAGAATCACTCCCCTGCTCCTGTTTGGTGTCTGATTTCAGAGCTTGATATCCTGACTCTGCCTCCCTGGGATTGTGTCCTTCTCTGTCTTATCTCCTGGAAGCTGGGATCCTTTTCCCCACCATGGGTAGACTGGAACTTCATTTGCATTAGTTACCCTGTTTTAGGCTTCCTGGTTCTGACATTCTAGAACTTGGTGGGAAAACTTTGTACTGTCCACACATCCTGGGAGCATTTGGAGAATGTGGAGGTTTCTGCTCATGCCCGGCCTGGGGCCAGACGAAGGCTACCCTTTCCATCCTGCCCAAGCAGCCTCAGCTTGCAGAGAGGTGGCTACCATGTGGGGTGGAGGTTTCTGGGCCTGGCTCCCTGCCCATGGCATAGACTCCCTGCGCCTGCACCTGTCTGCTAGTAAAAGGAAAGCCCCTGTGCAGATCTCAGCCACTCCCATGGCTCAGGCTGGGGCAAAGGGCTTGTAAAACGGCTGAAGCAGCTCCCAGACTGTTTGGTCTGTTTGCATGCAGGCTGCCCTTTGTGTCTGTCTGGTTGTCTTTGTCATCATTGCTTAAAGCTTGAAAGAGCAGTTGACTGACCGGCCTCTTTGCTTCTGAAACTTGTCTATCCCCACCCCTATCTTCCTGTAGTTATTCCTAGACATGGCTTACAGAGTCTCGGGAAGGTTGCCACAGCCCGGCGCATGCCACCGCCTGCAAACCTGCCAAGCTTGAAGTCTGAGAACAGAGGAAACGACCCCAACATCGTTATAGTTCCCAAGGACGGGACGGGATGGGCAAACAAGCAGGATCAGCAAGACCCAAAGAGGTGAGAGCAGAGGGGGCCGGCGTGGGTGGGGAGCTGGAGCCTCATAGAGTGCTGCCTTTCCTTCTGCAGAAGGCAATGGCAGAGCTGGAGAACCTGGGAGAACCCAGAGGAAGTTTCTTTTGCCCTGACTCCTGCTGCTTACTTGTTTCTCTCTCCCTGCTTTCATTTTTCCTGGCTTTTGGAGCTGATGCAGCACGGTTTCTGTGGGCTGCCTTGTCCCCAGGGCCCATTGTCCCCTGTGCCTTATTAGGAAGGGCCTCATCACCCCAGAGGAGCTTATGCAATGCCTCAGTGTCAGTTCCTGAGCCAGTAAGGGCCACTGTGGGGAGGGGAGGTGCTCGAGCACTTTGTTCTGGTGGTAGTCCCTGAATGCTGGACTCTGGCTGGGGGAGGAGGCTGTCTTCCCAGTTTCAGGGCCAGCAGCTTTCCACATAGACTACTCTAGTTAGTTGCTCCAAACAGACCCAGTTAAGAAAAACAATCCAGAATCCTCATTATTCAGGGTTGGTATGCAGCCTCCCAGTAGGCTCACACCACTGCCAGCACAGCACTTATGGGAGCCTTAGGAGGCCCAGGGTCTGGCACAAAAATCATCATTAGAGCAACAGAACAACTGTTGTGGCTGCTGTTGCGTGGTGGGGCCGGTTCTAACTCTGCCTCAGGTATGTAACCTCCCACCTGAGCCTGTGTTCAGCTCCTTCTACTGTGAGTCTTCCCCGCTGGGCACCAGCCAGCCATGAGGGTGGCTAGGAGAGGGGATTTGAGATTTGTACTGAGGGGACCAGAGAGGCACAGGACCTCACGAGTAGGGCTGGCTGGTAGGACACTGCTCCTAGGGTTTGCCTGTTGGGGACTGAGAACAAAATGGTCTGGGGGCTCCTACATCTTCGTGCCCTCAATCTCTTGTGCTTTGGCTGCCGATGCTCAGGATCCAGAGAGTAAAAGTGACCTAGAGTACCGTCTTCCAACCAGTGTCCCTTTCTCTTACTGGAAATGGCCACAGTAGCTTTTTTTAGAGCAAGAGTGTGTGCATGTGAGAATGGAACTGGGACTGGGAGGGGGGAGGAGCAGAGAGAGAGAGAGAGAGAGAGAGAGAATCCGAAGCAACCTCTGTGGTCAGTGCGGAGCCAGGCATGGGGCTCAATCTCAGGGTCCTGAGATCCTGAACTGAGCTGAAACCAAGAGTCAGACGCTCAACTGACCGAGCCACCCAGGTACCGCAGCCATGGCAGCTTTTGTAAAACCTCCCTGCAATTACTTCAGATAAGATGTACAGAGTGAGCAAATAATTCAGTCAGATGAACATAAAGTAGTAATAACCAAAATAGAGTCTGAAAGCGGTTTTTAGAAATTTTATAATGGTTTGTTTAGGGGTCATATAGGTTGATGGTAAGGCCTTACTTTTAGGATCAGCCAGGCCACTTACTACTAGCTTTATGGAACCTGGGGGAATTATTTGATTTGTGAGCTCCAGGGTCCTTCTGTGAAGTAGGAATAGTACCTGGTTGGTTTCAGGAAATAGACAAGGTAACACAGGTCAGGTACCCGGTGTAGAGGATGTGTGTGGCAGGTGTCAGCTACTGTTGTCATTCTGTTCAGATGGTAGACACTACAGAGTCTATAGTGAGTTGGATATCAGCGTACATATCAGCCTAAGTGTTGAAATGCCTCTGCCACAAGAAGTTCCAGAGAGAGAGAGGACAAGGTGTCACTCCCTCCCTCTGTGGGGTCTTGGAGTCATTGGCACAGAAAGGATCAGAAGACCTGAATGAGGCCAGTCATGCTGATGCACGTCAGCCAAGGACAAGGTAAAGACAGAACACTGGACAAGGGGCTGTCCTCTGCACTGGTCTTCTTTTGCCCTGGGCCATGTCCTCTCTCGGGGTATCAGGGAGGTAACAGGGTGAAGGCTGCAAGTGTGGGACTCCTTGCTTAGGTTTGGAGAACACAGAAGCGATACTACCTAGATTCTTCTGTTGTAGGTAGAAGGTGAAGTGAGTGGAGATCACTGGCCTTCATTTTGTAATAATGTGAGTTCCTTGGGTCGTGTAAACTTGGAAGCATGTATGTGTGTGTGTGTGGTGTTTGGGTTACTGGTGAGCCCCTGGCATTGGGGGAGACTGGCTGAGTGGACTCCTGCACTCCTTGGGTTTCATCGTGTAGAACAAGTGACCGGAAGGCTCTGGGTGAGCAGATATCTTCCTCACAGCCCTTGTTGCTTGTGGAGTGTCTGTTGACTGACACATCTTTGGAGGGTGCTGGGCCATAGCTTTTATTTTATTTTATTTTATTTTATTTTATTTTATTTTATTTTATTTATTTAAAGATTTATTTATTTATTAGAGAGAGAGAGAGTGAGAGAGAGAGAGAGAGAGAGAGAGAGAGAGAGAGGGAGGCAGAGGCAGAGACACAGGAGGGAGAAGCAGGCTCCATGCCAGGAGCCCGACGTGGGACTCGATCCTGAGACTCCAGGATCGTTCCCTGGGCCAAACGCAGGCGCTAAACCACCGAACCACCCAGGGATCCCTGGGCCATAGCTTTTATTTTTATTTTTATTTTATTTTTATTTTTTTGAGCCTTTTTTTAAAAAAAGATTTTATTTATTTATTCGGGGGGGGGGGCAGAGACACAGGCAGAGGGAGAAGCAGGCATCACACAGAGAGCCTGACGTGGGACTCGATCCAGGGTCTCCAGGATCACACCCTGGGCTGCAGGTGGCGCTAAACCGCTGTGCCACCAGGGCTGCCCAGCCATAGCTTTTAAACTTAAAAATATTTTTTGACGTAGCAGTTCCACTTCTAAGAACTTAGACTACTGAATGCACAAAAGTGTACAAAGATATGTATTAAAAAGTGTTCATCACAGTTTTGCCAGTACTGGGGAAAAAAATTGGGGACTGTGGCCCATCCAGTTGTACTGTGTCACTAAAACAAAGAGGTAGATAGGTGTGTTATCCAGAAAGCACATTAGATATGTTAAGTAAAAAACAAGTTACAAATTGTATGTGTGGTGTCATCCCACTCATGTTAAAAAATACTATATAGAAAAATCTGCTTGGCGTTTCTCTCTGGAGGATGAGATCGTGACAAGTTCTGTGTTATATATATTTATAAATTTATTTTTACTCTGGACATATATTTCTTTTATAAGCTGTAAGAAAAATCACATCTCAAAGCCATCAGGCCCCTGCCCGCCTCGCACTGCTGGGAGCTCTTGGTCAGGAATATGGGGCTCAAGCCCCTTCCCTGGGCTGACTCAGTTTCCCTGTTGGCAACTCCTTCAGCACTTGTGTACAGTGAAGCCACCAGGTTTTGTAGGAGAAGCTCTGCCAGGGGCCAAGGACTGTCCTGCCCAGCAGATGGCAACTGGTAGGCCTCAGATGGGGCCCAGCTTCTCATGGGCTCTGCAGTGTTAGTCTGCCGGGGACCTTACATGCTGCTGCTGAGCCTTTGGAGGCTTGGAGGGGCCTGTGTGTGCCCACGCCTGCCTGACCTTGATGCCCCCTACCTTGTCTAGTTCCAGTGTGACGGGCTCTCCGCCGCCGGAGTCGCTGCCGCAGCCGGGTTTGCAGAGGCCTGTCTCCAGCTTACAGAAGCCGACACAGCCGAGCAGCCAGGAGGTAGGTGCTGTATGACCTGCTCCTTCCAGAAGCAAGCCTCATGGGTGGCCATGGGACAGGAGCACAGGAAATTGTCAGGGTTCCCATGAGGTGACTCGAATCTGCAGCTTTGGGAGAAAGACTCCACATCCAGAACAGAGTACAAACACCCAATTTGCTTTCTGGTGACTTACTTTGAGGTGATGTCACTGGGCGAACTACAGGCTAGATCAGGGTCCTGTGGTTGTGCTCCATGGGGACCACAGAAAGGTTGGGGGTCAGGTGAGCTGAAAAACAAAATTAAGCAAGCTCCTTTACTGTCGGACTTTTTTTTTTTTAATTTTTTTTTCATTTATTTATGATAGTCACACACACAGAGAGAGAGAGAGAGGCAGAGACATAGGCAGAGGGAGAAGCAGGCTCCATGCACCGGGAGCCCGACGTGGGATTCGATCCCGGGTCTCCAGGATCGCGCCCTGGGCCAAAGGCAGGCGCCAAACCGCTGCGCCACCCAGGGATCCCCTACTGTCGGACTTCTTGCCAGCATCTTTAGAGACTGGTGTCTAAGAACACACTTTGGGAAATACTGATCTGTGACCCTTTATTTGTTGATGCATTTAAAGTATTCTCCCTGGGGGATCCTGGCTGGCTCAGTCCATGGAGCATGCAATTCTTGATCCTCAGGGTTGTGAGTTTGAACCCCAGGTTGGGTGTAGAGATAGATTACTTAAAAAATAAGGGCATCCTGGGTGGCTCAGTGGTTTAGTGCCATCTTCAGGCATGATCCTGGAGACCCGGGATCGAGTCCCATGTCGGGCTCCCTGTATGGAGCCTGCTTCTTCTCCCTCTGCCTGTGTCTCTCATGAATTTAAAAAAAAAAAAAAATCTTATAAATAAATAAACACACACCCCAATAGTGCTTTCCTAAACAGAAAGTCAGGAATTTTTTTTTTTTAAGATTTTATTTATTCATGAGAGATATATAGAGAGAGGCAGAAACATAGGCAGAGGGAGAAGCAGGCTCCCTGCGGGGAACCCGATGGGGGACTCGATCCCAGGACCCCAGGATCACACCCTGAGCTTAAGGCAGATGCTCAACCACTGAGCTACCTAGGCATCCCAGAAAGTTGGGATTTAACCAAGGAAGGGCTCATAATATATTCAGTCCATTGGTATCTGGATTTCAAGGATCAGCAGGAGGATATGCTTAGCTGGGAGCTAGAAATCTAGATGAGACATCTGCAGATCTTTTAGAAGACCACAAGACGTGTAGACAGATACCTAGCATTTAGCAGCTCACTGGAAAACAACCTGCACTACTGTATTTTGGTTTTGTACTATTCCCTGGGCAACCGAAGGTCTGAGGTGTCATCTCCAACCACTGGGGAGAGTGTATGGCTTTGCCAGAGGGCACCTCCCCCACCCAACACTGAATACTGAAATTAAAGAAAAAGGTAAAAGAAGTCTACATTCATGGGAAGCTCTGTATTCATTGGCCTGAATCTACAAGTGCCTGGTGCCTAGTCTGAGGACAGAGTTGAGTTTGAATCTGTCTCCTGGAATTTGAAGCTAAGAGATTGAGGGGAGCCTTGGTTTTACAGGCCTTGCTGTATGTCAGACTCCGCATTGGAGCTGCTGAAAATGTGTCTGTTCCTGTACCCTGGTGCTGTAGAGTCTGGATTAGCACCTGGTGTGGTCCTGGCATTGTTGAGAAGATCTGCTGAGGGTCAGAGCCTTGTCTTGGGGCCAGCATGCTGGTCACCCTGCCCAGGGCTCAGCTCTTCCCACATAGTGGCGGTGAGAAGGGACTCCCAGTGGTTCCCAGCCCCCAAAGCCTCGCCCCAGAGGCAGGACAGCATATCTGCTCTTGTCAGAGTTATGGCAGGGTGGCAGTATTAGTAACGCTTCTTGGCCTTGGAGCCATCCTCTTCTCATTTGATGCCTTTGGTGGGTGAGAGCAGGGGCATCTTGGTGCTGGCTGTAGACACCAATTGGGAGGCTGTGGGACGGCAGGGCCCTAGTGCTCTGTGCTTCCTGGGGGACCAGCCAGCCCTAGCTGTGCTGCCGTGTTACATCGCTGGCACATCCTTTCTGTGGTCTGTGTGCAGGGGCCTGTGGCCATCCTAAGGCACTCAGGGCAACTTCTAATAAATAAATGGATAGTTAGACCTGGTCTGCTCTGTACAGAAAGCAAGAGAGATGGCCATCTAAGCCCTGAGTGTGGTGATGCGGGTGGTGGGAGGGGGGGGGACAGGAAAGAGTAATAATTTAATGTGAGGTCTGACCCAGTAAGTGCTGAAACATCATGCTGCACCAGTTTTATGTATTTTTACCTTCAGTTGGAAGAGGAAGGCTGCTAGGTTGATGTTGTTGGAGAAAGGCAGGTGGGCTCAGTGGCTGGGGACTCGATGGGGCTTGGGACACAGGCTGAGCGGGGACAAGTCCTTGTCCTGCTCTCCTAATTGGGACTAATCTCTCCTTTCTGAGCCTCATTTGGAATAGGACTAGAACCTTCCCAGAGAGTGGGAGGGTTTGCTCAGGCAGGGTGTCCCTAGCATAATGCCTTGCCTGCAGTGAGCTTTCCACACAGTTCTGAGGATTGCATGTGAGCCAGGCAAGTCCAGATTAGCGGAAGAGGAAGGCCTCACTTGAATAGTTGTGTCTTATAGAATGACAGTAATTATGGAAAGTAGCGTAGTGGCCCATCCACTGAAAGATCAGGCATGCTGGGTTTCCCATGCTGATGCTCCTCTATTAGTGGTGCACGGTTTTTGGGACACATGCTGGAATTGAGATCTAGTCTTTATCTCTTGAGCAAGGCATAGTAGCTGTGTGGGTGCGAGAGGTGACCTGACAGAGTGTTCTGGAGTGCAGTGTGAAGGGGACGTGGGGTTTTGAGTCCTGGCTTTGCTGTGGGACTGGCTACGTGAATTGACCATGTCCCCTCCACCCTGATCCTCACCTTTGCCGTGGGCTTGGCAGCTCCCAACGCCCTGGCTATCGCACAGGTGAGAAGCTGGGTGGAAAGCAGGCCGGTTGGGCCAGCTCTATTCTCATTTCCTTCCTTCTTTCAGAACACAAATTCAGTGCCAGGTGGACCAAAGTCATGGGCACAGCTGAATGGAAAGCCAGCAGGACACGAAGGTGGTAAGTGTGGGTGGGTGGTGTTGGGCTGGGTGTGTGGGGAGGGACGAGTACCTTTTCTAGACTGTTGGGCTTGAGTCTTGGCAGCCCTGGGCCTAAAGCTTTGTGGAATTTCTCACCTGAGTGAGCTTCTGTTCCCTGGAGCCTTTACCTTTGCCCCAGGGGTGGGAGTGCTGACCCCACAAAGTCCGTCAGCTCTTTGATCTCAGAGAATGTTATTAGGAAAGACATTCCTCCTGGGGTATGTGGGGAGGCTGGACGCTGGTCTGAGTCGGCTGCTGCTCTAAGTCGGCTCTGAGTCGGCTATCCCATCGGCGGAATTCAGATACCTGCTCACCGGTGTGGCTGACATGAGTCTGCTTCCTCTCTCCTGGGCCATCAAGGAGGAGGTGTTGCGAGGTGTGGTGTGAGCTTCAGGCCTGGGTTTATAAATAAGCCAGCCCTGGGAATTGAGCTGCTTGGTGTTGGATGGTGCCACTGGAGCATTCATGGCTTACACAGTATTTGTTACTGTTTATGTCGTGCCTGACCTGGAGCACTTGGAAGTTGTCACCAGCAGAGCCACAGCTGTGATAGTTCCACAGAGGGAAGTGGGGTGGGAGGGTGCCCAGTTTTCAGTGACTGCTGAACAGCCTATCAGAGGGCTTCCTAGGCAGGCTCAGAGCTCACCTGAGCAGAGAGGGCAGCCAGACTCTGCCCCCTGCACCCCCCGCACCCCCAACGACCAAAGCCCTCTCTGAGAATGCAGGCCCAGGCTCAGTGAGTGCTTTAGAGAGAAGCCAAAGATATAGATACATCTGCCTGAGCCCTCCTAATTTGTTACTGTTAGCTCAAATATGTCCAGCACACTGCAAACCAACCTGGATGATGCCTCTGCGCTGGAAGGAGAGGGCTGCTGGTGAGAGTAGTGCACGATTGCTCGCTCTTCTGCGAAGAGCACTGGCTGTCTTTTGTACCCTTTGCCCCCAGTCCTGGCTAATGTCTCGCCTGTCCCGAACTCTCCCCTCCTTGCCCGGCGCATGTGCCCCTTCTGGATGGGAATCACTGGATGGTTGGAAGTTCTGTCCCCATCTCCGGTGGGGACATCAGTCAGCGTGCCAAAGTGCTGTCAAACACCAGTTCCAGAGGAGCTCAGGGCAGGAGAGCTTGGCCTGCATATGTATAAGGGAGCTTTATGGACTCTCTGGTCTGTGGGATGAGGTAAAGGGGGCAAGACAAGCACGGGGTGGGGGGATGAGTGGGGCGGTGACAAGTATTATAGTTCCCTATAATTAGCTCTCTTTAAAGAGGCTTTATAAAGAGCATTCATTAGACTGATTTTACAGTGGTCTTTGCTTTCTAAAGCCTTTATTCTGTAAGGTTAGAACTTTAAGCAAATCAAATGTATTAATTTGTATTTAAGAAGAACTACAGAAGTTAAAAAAATACTAGTGTGTATTGGCACAACCCCTGTGGAGGGCAGCTTGGTCCTGCCTCTCCAGATACTAATAGCTCACCCTTTGACCTGGTAGTTCCACTGTGCGGAAATTGCCCTAGAATACTTGCCTGTGTGAGAAATGACATATATACCCGATACTCATAGCAACATTTTTTTTAATATGTCATTTATTTTTTAATATGTCATTTATTTATGAAAAAGAGGGAGTTGAGAGGCAGAGGGAGAAGCAGGCTCTCCATGGAGCTGAGAGCCTCATGCAGGGCTTGATCTCAGGACCCTGGGATCATGACCTGAGCTGAAGGCAGACACTTAACTGACTGAGCCACCCGGGCGCCCCATCATTGCAACATTGTAATAGCAAAAGATTGGAAGTAATCACTTGAAATGTCCATCAGATTTTGGTGCTTTCACGAATTACTACTAGCCTATAAGGAGAAAAAGCGCTTTTCCATGGGTCTGGCAAACTCTCTAGGGTGTATGATATATTCTTAAGTGAAAAAAAGTGCAGAGTAGTATGTATAGTATGTTACTGCCATTCATGAAAAAAATTCTGATGAGGGAAAATATACTTCTAAAACATGTATGTGCATTAGAAAAGCATCTCTGGAAGGAAGCCTCAGAGGAAGGGAGGAGTAGAATTGGAAGCAGCCTGTTTTCTGAGGGTGTAGGAAGTAGGCAGGTGGGGGTACAGGCGTGGGAGTGGGGGAGGGTTTGTTCATACCTTTCTCCAGCTTCTTTTGATCCTGTGATTGTATTTCCTATCAAAACTAAGATGTGGGGCACCTGGGTGGCTCAGTGGTTAAGCATCTCCTTTCAGTTCAGGCAAATAAAGATTTTATTTATTTATTCATGAGAGACACACATAGAGAGAGAGGCAGAGACACAGGCAGAGGGAGAAGCAGGCTCCACGCAGGGAGCCTGATGGGGGACTCAATCCTGAATCTCCAGGATCATGCCCTGGGCTGAAGGCAGACACCCAACTGCTGAGCCACCCAGGCATCCCATAAATAATGTCTAAAAGCAAAACAAAACAAACTAAGCCATGACTTAGAAACTAATTCCAGAACATGACAAAATCCTTTGAGAACATCTGACTGATCATTCATCATCGGGGAGGCAGTAGAACCCAGGAGCCCAGGAGGAGGGACAGAGGCGTCCATGGTGCAGGCAGGGGACTGGGGTGGCAGCAGCCCCCAGCTCGCCTCCTGTGCTGTGGCCACAGGCCCATGGTGTATTGGGGCTATGGGTGCTTGACAGTGTTGCTCGCAAACATGTTCATGGCTCTGCACTTCTGAAGGACTCTTCCTGAGTCGATAGACCCCTCCATGTGGTCTGTTGGGTGGCCTTGGGCCTGTTTCAGTTGGATCAGCCCCAGGGGGCCAGACTGGTGCAAACAGACACCAGAGGCTTGTGACTTGTGGGCTCTGGTGTGGCAGTGGTCCCTTGCTGATGGCTCCTGGAACCCTAGGAAAGTCCCTCATGTTCCTGCCTCAGAGTCTCAACGGCAGAGAACACATGGCCCAAAGGATTGGTAGTGAACGTGCTCTAAAGAGCACTGCAGCCGTAAGGAGTGCTACTGCTTTAGTCTGGGATTCTGAGTTCTTCCCTTTATCTTTCTTATCTGTGGAGGGCAAGTTTAATTCCCATGTAGAGTGAGACCTTCGTGACTGCTAAGGCAGAAAAAAGTACTGTTTGTTTTTAAGCTTCCAATCTGTGTTTTTAAAGCATAGCTTTAATATATCCTCCTTGTCAGTGGTTTTTGTTAAAAAATGCTCAAGCAACTGTGAGTCGAAGGCCCCCTCACACAGTGGCAGTTTCTTTGTGACACTTGGAGATTGTCTGTCAGGTTGTCCCCCTGGCAGGTTTATTTGACCCTGGATCTTTTTACTAAGTGGAGTAGTGAATGAATTGCTGCCTCTTGCGTTTGCACTAATCCCAGCTGCGTGTTTCTGGCCAGGTCCCTGCCGTAGTTCACGGGCCCATGAATCAGTAATTCCGAGAATGATACTGGTCGGGGGTGGGGGTGGGAATTGGGCTCTGCCGTCTAGGGAACAGGCATAGCATGGCTGGACATTGTGCTGTGTACTGCCACTGTTGTGTTAAGTTTATATGGTGCTGGGCATTTGGTCCAGATAAAAGCACCAAATGCCACCCTGGACCCTAAAAAGGCACCATTTTGTCTGAAAGATGATTTCAGGTTCCTGATGCTAAGCGCTGGGAGGGGCTCCCACAAAGTTAAGGAAAGGTTTCTTCTCCAAAGAACCTATAGCATTGGGGAGTGGATGGGAGAGGGAGGGAAGGAATAAACAGATCCCAGGATCACAGGACTGAGATGTTTGTTGCTCACGAGGGTAGATCTGGGGTGGAGGCTTTGGGAGGGGGGGGGGACCATTTGCTGCCATTACCTCCACACGAAAACAGCTCACCTCCCTGGGCTGATTTCCCTGAAGACTCCTGCCCTTTTTTAGGAGTGGGGAAGGCTCTGGGCTGGGGCAGCTGTGATCTGCTCTCCCTTATCCTTTGTCAGCAGCCCAGCAGATCATCTGCATCTGGCTTTCCTTGTCCCCTGGGGAGCGCACTTAACAGGAGCAGGCTCCAGGTGGGATCCAGGCAGCGTGGCTTCCGACCCATGGGGCAGCAGAGGCCCTTCGGCGCCGCTCACCGAGCCCTCTGCTTTTCTCGACAGGTTTAAGGGGCTCAAGCCGACTGTTATCCTTCTCTCCCGAGGAGTTTCCGACGCTGAAAGCAGCTGGAGGGCAGGACAAGGCTGGCAAGGAAAGGGGCGTCTTCGATCTGTCGTATGGGCCAGGACCAAGCCTCCGCCCTCAGAGTAAGTGCACTGTGGTCTCTGTCTGGGCACGTGTGGAAACAGTAGGCTGCCCTTCTGCCTTCTAGTGGCATGTGTACTCTCAACGAGCTGGTGCTCCCAGGCTCCAGGCTCTCTGTCTGGAAAGTATGCTTACTGACCCTGTGCCTGTCCCCTGCCTGTGGCACCTGTTCCCTAGGCTGGTCTGGAGGTCGCTCCTCTTTTCTCCTCCTCTGAATTGAGCCAAGCCTGTCTGTCTCCCCTTGTGCTGTCATCAGACAGAAGGACCAAGGGCCCATTTGCTTCATCCCTGATTCTGGAGCTGGTTTTCTAAGCCAGGGGCTCCTAAACCTTGCTGAATCCTGTCTGGATCCTTTGGGGAGTTTGGAAAAGTCTGATTTCCAGCCCTTCTCCATCCCCAGCCAAATTAGAATCTCTATTTTTTTTTTTAAGATTTTATTTATTTATTCATGAGAGGCACAGGCAGAGACATAGGCAGAGGGAGAAGCAGGTTCCCTTTGGGGAGCTTGTTATGGGACTCGATCCCAGAACCCCAGGATCACAACCTGAGCCGAAGGCAGATGCTAAACCACTGAACCACCCAGGTGCCCTAGAATATCTATTTTTTTAACATCCTCCTCTGGGGTTTTGTAGCCAGCCTAGGATTGGTCTCCACAGTCCCCTCATCTTGGGTCTGGCCAAGGAGTTGGCAGGGTCATATAGCAATACTTGTAGGTAATTTTTTTTTTTTAATGGCCTTGAGCGGTTAGAGATTAAGATTTTGTCTGGGGAAGAGATTTTCCATCTCTTCTGACTAGGGATTATGAAATGGCTCTTTGTTTGTTTGTTTGTTTGTTTGTTTGTGGACGGATGGGGGAAGGGAGGGCTTGAATAGATCCTGAAACATGAGGGACTTTTGTCTGTTTGTCTTAATCTGCAAGGCATCCCAGTGTCAGAACTGGCACCCTGTAAGTGAAATGATCAATAGGTGACTCTAATGGAGCATACTACCTTTTCAGTGGCCTGTGTCTGGGTTATTTCATCTGCTCCAAATAATGTAACTAAATTCCTCAAGCCAAGAATTGTAGTTTTCCGGGATCAAGCCGGGCTGCTTTGTAGAACCACAGAAGTTTAGAACTAGAAGCTGCTTTTGGGATCAATTCCATCTCCTTATTTGAGAAGATGAAGAAGCAGGTGTGGCCAGAAGGGTAATCACAGGACTTGCCCAAGATTGTATTCAAGGCAGTTGAATTGCTGGGAGCCAACTCTGGTTTTGTGGCTTCTGTGCTTTATCTCTTTCTCTTAGTCTCAAGTACTCAAGGACTTCATGCTTCAATTCCTAACCATACATTGGCTGAAAAGGAGCGGGCTCATGTGATTTCTCCTTTGCCCCTAATTCCCCCAGTACTTGTTAAGTTTGACGGTGGGGGGAACATCATCTTAATAGGATAGATAGGTTGGCGGGTTCAGACTGTGAGCTGCAGGAGAGCCCCCTGAGCCCGAGCAGAACAAGTGGGGGTGAAGGCCTGGGGGGTGGGGCCAAGGACCCTTTCATGCCCCCACTGGAGGGAGAGGGGCTCTGCTTTGTCTTATGAACTGTGGAATCTTTGAGCAGAGGTGTCACTGTGAAACTGAGTTGAAACATGTCAGGACTTAACACCAGTTTTCAAGGTTTTATTTTTAAGTCATCTCTACGTGACACATGGGGCTCCAATTCACGACCCTGAGATCCAGAGTTGCATGCTCTACTGACTGAGCCAGCCGGGTGCCCCAGGACTTACCTCAGTTTTAATGTAAAGCCCAATGCTGGGCCCAGTGCTGATCCTGATGGGTCAGTGTTTGTGGGAGAAATGACCCAAGGCTGTTTTTATTGGGGCTGTCCTGATTTCTTCGTGTGTTAGATCTGTGGATATATGTGGTTTCTGTTGACCAGCGAAGACCATGTCTTGTTTACACTTGCCTTCTCTGTGAATGGACCTTGCTTTGTATTTCTCTTACAACCAGACTTCCCACAGCAAGTTTGTACGCATTGGCCAGGTGTCTGCCCTCCACCTTCCCTGGCAGATTCGACCACTTGACTCTTCACTTTTGGGTTTTTTGTTTTTGTTTTTGGTGAATGAGGGGGTCCCTCGACCTTCAGAACCTCACACAATCCCTCCTCCCCCTTCCTCTTTCCTCTCCCCTTTTGCCCCCTTTCAATTTCCAGATGTGACAAGCTGGAGGGAGGGCGGTGGGCGAAACATAATTTCTGCCACGTCTCTGAGCGCCTCCCCAACTGAGCTGGGCAGCAGGAACTCGAGTGCGGGAGACGGAGCCCCCTCCTCGGCATGTACCAGCGATTCTAAGGACCCCTCTCTCCGCCCGGCTCAGCCTGTCCGAAAAGGGGCTTCACAGTTCATGGGAAATGTATACCACCCACCTACATACCATGACATGCTTCCTGCTTTTGTAAGTTTTCAGAGTATGCATTTTTTTTTTCCCATGAAGTTGGATTGCTCGTGTCCAGCAGAACCTCCTCTAAGTGGTTGAATGTCCACCTCAGTTTTCCTCCCAGTGTCTTTGCCCTGATAAGCCCTACCTTGAAAGTTTCCATTACTTCAGCGTTTTTCTCTGCCCCTTTTCAAATCTTAAGGGTCTTCGGCTGCTTTCCCTGGTGATGTGGATATTATTTCGGCCTTGGTTCTTTAGAGCAAGGAGAGGCAGGCATTGCCTAAGACACCACAAGTCCCCAGGTGTACTTCCTGACAGCAGGAAAGAGATAGGGGAGACGGGGGTAGGATGAACCGGGCAGTTCCAAGACTTGCCTGTCTCTTCTTCCCAGTTTCCATTTTCCAAAGCAAATTCTAATGCAGGTGGAACTTAGAATTTGAACCATTATCAGAAAATCCTATTCATTGATGTTATGTTTCAGATGTGTTCACCGCAGTCATCAGAGAACCAGGGTACAGTGGAACGAGGATCTTTTCCCCTTCCCCAGCTCCGTCTTGAACCCCGTGTTCCCTTTAGACAATTCCAGATGAATGACCAAGATGGGTAAGGCTACTGTATTATAGTCACATTTGTAGAGAGTGGCTCTCTCCACCCCGCTTGGGGGCATTGTGCAAGATAATGGGCTGACATATGAAGGTGCTTTGTCTTCGAGACCACAGTGGACCTGAAACCACCTCCAAGCTCCTGGGTGGGTGGGGTGGCTGGGATCTGGAGCTGAATGAGGTTGGGTTATGATTGTAAGTCCTGGCATGAGTTTGTGGCCATTGCCCTAGGTGCTAGCGCTGAGGATATGAAACTACGAAATGAGCCAGAACTGCTCTCTGGGCTGTGTTTATTCCTTGTAGGTTTCTTTTCAAAGGAGAGGATTTAAGTCTTAAATGCAACCATGAACCTTTGCAGTTTTGGACTTATATTGGGGAAAAGTATTAGGTTTTGCTTGCATCTGTATACTTGATGTGAGGCCAGATCTTTACTCTTTTTGCCCTTGGCAGAAAAGAAAACAGGCTGGGAACAACTCGCCCCATCCGCCCGCTGAGGCAGCTGGTGGGACGGGCGCCGCGGCCCACCATCATCAATGCGGAAAACCTGAAGGGCCTGGATGACCTGGACGCTGACGCTGATGACGGCTGGGCAGGTGGGTCGGGGGCTTTCAGGGCCAGGGTTGCCTCTGCCTGCCGGGCAGCAAGGTGGCTGTGTGGCCCTCAGCAAGCTGGAGTGGCACCGTCCGTGGCTCGTTGCCAGCCGTTGCTTCCTCACTGAGCCCTGTCTTCTGTTGGTCTTTGGTCTTGCTCTTAGATGTGGGGAGATTTTGTTCACTTTCTCAAAAGACTTTTTAGAATGGAAAAGTTAAACAAAAGCGTAAATGGGGTAGTGAGCCCTCAGCTTCACATCCCCTAGCTTCAACGAGTATCAGCCCAATTGTTTTCTCTGAAGATTCTTTTTGTGTCTTTGCTTCCAAGTAAATTTTAGTTACTCTGAAAGATGCTCATCTTCATTGCGCAGTTCTGACAGAGAGATGCACATGTGTGGCACACCTCTCATCAAGGTGTGGAACCTTCCCCCTGCCAGCCAGCCTTCCTCCCCCGGCCTTACCCAGGGCCTCCCCTCCTCTGATCGAGGTTCCATTAGGAACGAAGTTTTCATTTGTGTTCAGCAGATACCCAGGAGTGGAATTATTAGGTCAAAGGGAAGGTGCTTGATTGGGCCTTTTAGGCCCCACCTACACCTTTCTCCATGGTGGCCGTGCCAGGTTACATTCCTTGCTGTGCAATAGGGTTTGAGGACCAGGTTTCTCTGCGCCCTCACAAACTTCCACGTGATTAGTCTTTTTAATTTTAGCCATTCTAGTGGGTGTGTAGTGGTGTCATATTATGCTTTTAATTTGCATTTTGCTGATGACTAATGATGATGAACAAATTTTCATGTGTTATTTGGCTTCTGGTGTATTTTCTTTTTTTTTTTTTCTTTTTTCTTTTGAGTGGCATGATACAAGTCACAGATACAAGTCCCATGCAACTTAATGTCTTACAAATATTTTTTCCCATTTCTTGCCTACCTTGTCTGTTCTTTTTTTTTTTTTTTAAGATTTATTTATTTGAGAGAGAGAGAGAGAGAACGCACACATGAGCATTCAAGTGGGGGGAGAGTCAGAGGGGGAATGAGAGAAAATCCCAAGTAGACTGAGCCCAACACAGGCCTTAGTCCCAGGACCCATGAGATCACGACCTGAGGTGAAACTAAGCAAGAGTCAGATACTTAGCCAGGTGAGCCACCCAGGCACCCCTTGTCTGTTCATTTTTTTTAGCACTGTTTTGATGACCCAAGGTGTTTTATTTTGATGAATTTTAATTTATAAATTTGGGGGGTTTTATAGTTATTTCTTTTGTGTCCTGTCTAAAAATCTTTTTCTCTCCTTGACAGCAGGGATACTCCCCTATTTTCTATCGTTTCAACTCTTACTTTTGGGTCTGTGGTCTATGTTGAATTAATCTTTGTGCATAAGCTAGGAGTCCAGGCTCGTTTTCATCCGTAAGGATATTTAGTGGTTCTGCACCGTTTGTTGTTTGGGCTTTCCTCTCCCTACTGAATTGTTTTGGCACCTTTGCCAAAAATCAATTGACCAGATAAGTGTGGGTCTATTTCTGGACCCTGTTTGTTTCCTTAATGTATTTATTCTTCCTTATGCCGATACCACACTGTAGCTTTATAGTAAGTCTTAAATTCAGCACTGTAAGCTTTCCAGCATTGTTCCTTTTCAAGATTGACTGTTTTTTTCAAGGTTATTTGACTACAAGATCTTTTCATTCCCATATAAATTTAGAATCAGCCTGTCAGTATTTACAGAAAGCCTGCAGGCATTTTGGTTAGGACTATGTTGAATGTATTGCTGGATAAATACCTTAATTTTGAATCTTCCATCCGCGAACTGGTTGAATCTGACTACTCTTAGCTTTGTTTCAGTGTTTTCAGTGTGGAGGTCTTGAACATCTTTTGTTAAGTTTATCCTAAGTATTTGGTGTTTTTTTTTTTTTTTTAAATTTTATTTTATTTTATGATAGTCACAGAGAGAGAGAGGCAGAGACACAGGCAGAGGGAAAAGCAGGCTCCATGCACCGGGAGCCTGACGTGGGATTCGATCCCGGGTCTCCAGGATCGCGCCCTGGGCCAAAGGCAGGCGCCAAACCGCTGCGCCACCCAGGGATCCCCCCCCCCTTTTTTAAAGATTTTATTTATTCATTTATGATAGATGTAGAGAGAGGGGGCGGGGCAGAGACACAGGCGGAAGGAGAAGCAGGCTCCATGCCAGGAGCCCTACGTGGAACTCGATCCTGGGACTCCAGGATCATGCCCCGGGCCAAAGGCAGGCGCTAAACCACTGAGCCACCCAGGGATCCCCAGTATTTGGTGTTTTTTGATGCTGCTGTGCCTGGCATTGATTTTATTTTATTTTATTTATTTTTATTTTTTTTAATTTTTATTTATTTATGATAGAGAGAGAGAGAGAGAGGCAGAGACATAGGCAGAGGGAGAAGCAGGCTCCATGCACCGGGAGCCCGACGTGGGATTCGATCCTGGGTCTCCAGGATCGCGCCCTGGGCCAAAGGCAGGCGCCAAACCGCTGCGCCACCCAGGGATTCCCTGGCATTGATTTTAAAATGTAATTTCATTTTTTTGTTTCGTGTTGTAAACGGTTGATCTTTGTGTATGGACCTGTACCAGGCACTTTGCTGAATCCTACTGATTAGTTTTAGTTGATTTCTTAGAATTTTCTACATAAAGCATCTTGTTGCCTATAAATAGGGGCATCTTTGTGTCTTCTTTTCAGATTATATGCCTTTTATTTCTTTTTCTTGCTTAAATACAGTGTGGTACTTCCAGTACAGTGCAGTGTTCAAGTTCTTTGTTCCTGATCTTGGGGAGAAAGTGTTTGTGTTTCACCTTTAAATCTTATGTCAGCTATAGGATTTTGGGTGTTCTTTATTATTAGATTGAAGGGTTTCCTTTTATTTCTAGTTTGCTGAGTGTTTTGTTCTCTAAATCATGAATGGATATTAAACTTTGTTGAATAACTTTTCCTGTGTCTGTGATCGTAAGATTTTTTTTTTCGTTTTGGTAATCTAGAGGACTGGATTGATTGCTTAATTATTTATTTATAATGCTAAACCAACCTTAAATTCCTATTGCTCCACCTTTTTGTATGCCTAGATTCAGTGTACTTATATTTTATGAAGGTTCTTGGTGTCTACATCTATGGTGGATACTGGTCTCTGATTTTCTTTTAATATCTTTGTTTGGTTTTGATCTTGGGTTATGCTGGGCTTGTAGATGAGTTGGAAAATGTTCCTTCTCTACTTTTTGGAAGAGGTCTGTAAGTTTGGTATTATTTCTCACATAAATGCTTGATAAAATTCACTAGTGAGGGATCCCTGGGTGGTGCAGTGGTTTGGCGCCTGCCTTTGGCCCAGGGCGCGATCCTGGAGACCTGGGATCGAATCCCACGTCGGGCTCCCGGTGCATGGAGCCTGCTTCTCCCTCTGCCTGTGTCTCTGCCTCTCTCTCTCTCTCTGTGACTATCATAAATAAAAAAAAATAAAATTAAATCAAAAAAAAATTCACTAGTGAAATAATTTGACCCTGGAGTTTTCTTTGTGGTAACTTTTGTGATAATAGATTTAATTTTATTGATTATAGAGGTGCTCAGATTTTCTTTGTCATTTTGTGTCAGTATTTAATAAGTTATATTTTCAAGCGATTTGTTTTTTTTTTTTTTTTTTTTTTTAGTTTTTTTAAATTTATTTATGATAGTCACAGAGAGAGAGAGAGGCAGAGACACAGGCAGAGGGAGAAGCAGGCTCCATGCACCGGGAGCCCGATGTGGGATTCGATCCCGGGTCTCCAGGATCGCGCCCTGGGCCAAAGGCAGGCGCCAAACCGCTGCGCCACCCAGGGATCCCTGTTTTTTTTTTTTTTTTTAATATTATTTATTTATTCATGGGAGACAGAGAGAGAGAGAGGCAGGGACACAGGCCGAGGGAGAAGCAGGCTCCACGCGGGGAACCTGACGTGGGACGCGATTCCAGGTCTCCAGGATCATGCCCTGGGCTGAAGGCGGCACTAAACCACTGGGCCACCGGGCCTGCCCGATTTGTTTCTTTTGAGTTGAATTTATTGGTATAAAGTTGCTGATTGCATTCCTTTTCTTTTTTGATGTCCGTGGGCACTGTAGTGATAGCCCGTCTTTCGTTCCCAGTAATTGGGCAATTTTTATTTTCTCTCTTTTTCTTATTCACTTCTGCCAACAACTTACTCTTTTTATTAATCTTTACTAAGAGGAAGTTTGGGGCTTTAATTTTCTCCATTTTGGTGGATTGTTTTCTATTTTATTTATCTGTTCATTTTAATTATTAAAGCTTTCTGGATTTTTTTTTAAAGATTTTATTTATTTATTCATGAGAGACACAGAGAGGGAGAAGCAGGCGCCATGCAGGGAGCCCAAAGTGGGACTCGATCCCGGGACCCCAGGACCACACCCTGGGCCGAAGGCAGGCGCTAAACTGCTGAGCCACCCAGGGATCGCCCGCTTTCTGGATTTTTAATTTAATTCTTTTATAGTCTGAGAGTATACACTGTATGATTTCGTTTTTTTCAACTTATTGAGACTTATTTTATGAACAGGACATAATTCAAATGCATTTGAAAAGAAAGTGTATTCTGCAGTTGACCATCATGGTCTGTAAATATCAATTTAGTTACAGTCAAGGTGGTTGAAGTGTACTTCAGATCTTATATACTTGTATTTTTGTCTAATTCTCTTAGGTACTGAAAATGAGGTATGGAATTCTCCACTGTGACTGGATTTATCTGTTTCTCTGCTTCATTGGTTTCAAAGCTGTTATTAGGCATATGCACATTTCTAATTTTTCTGACATATATTGATCCTTTAGATGTCCTATATCACTAGAAATGCGAGTTTCTTTTGTCCTATGTTAAAATCATTGCTCTGGTGTTACTGTTTTCATGTGTGTCTTTTTTTTTTCTTTAATCCTTTTCCTTTCAACCCAATTGTGTTGAAAGGAAACACTTTTTCATCAAATCTGCCTTGTAATTATATTGGACTTTCTGTTTTTTTTTTTTTTTAAAGATACAGTTTGTAGAACAAATTTCACATACCATAAATCCATTCTTTTAAAGTCCACAATTCAGTGAATTTTAGTACATTCACAAGTTTGTGCAGCCATTTCCACTGTCTAGTTCCAGAATATTTCCATCACCCACAAAAGAAGCACTGTACCATTAGCATGCATTCCCAGTTACCCCCTACCCCCACACACATCCTCTGGCAACCACTAATTTACTTTCTCTCTCTGTGGTTTTGCCTATTCTGGACATTTCATATAAATGGAAGCACACAGTGTAGTGTGTGTGACCTTTTGTGTCTGACTTCTCTCACTGAACATGTTTTCAAGATACATCTCATGTTCATTTTCCTGGCCAAAATACTGTTCCCCTGATTGTATCTCCCACATTTTGTGTGCCCACTTCTCTGATGATGGGCACTTTCTGTCCCCCTGAGCCCCTGAGCCCGGGCAGTGCCCTAGGGCACAGCAGCAGCTCATACATCCCATTGGCCAAGTCTCTTTGTTGCCTGGTTGGACCCCTGTCTAGTTTTGCCTGCTATTTTGTTCACCCTTCCATACCTTTTACTGCATTTGTAAGATATTTTGTCCAGATTGAAGACCTGTTATCTGTGGAAAGGTTAATCTGACCAGGCTGCTTTGCTGTCACCCAAAGCCATAGCTGTCCCTCACCTTATCCGTGGTGTCCGTCATGATAGCGGTTGGCCAGGTTGCCCTCCCCCTCGATTGAGCCAGTATAAGCCCTGACTGGAGGAAACCCCCAGGATGGCGCTCTTAGCACTGCTGAGACTTGGCTCTTTCTTGGTCTCCCTGTTGTAGGCCTTCATGAGGAAGTGGACTACTCAGAGAAACTGAAGTTCAGTGATGATGAAGAGGAGGAAGAAGTTGGGAAGGATGGCAGGCCTAAGTGGTAAGGATCCCCCCATCCTTCATAATGTAGCCAGATGCACACGCATCAGTGCTTATTGGCACAGCTGTGTACTGGTCACCACGCCAAGTGCATTTCCTGGTCACAAGCAGCCTCATAGGGGCAGATATGGTTTCCATGCTGCTGATGGGACAGCTGTGTGGGACTGGAGCCAGAGTGTGCATCCCGGCACGCTTGGCTGGCTGGCTGGCTGGCTGAGTCCTAGTGGTTTTAACCACTGTGCCAGTATTTTCCTGAATGAGTTTGGACACCACTTGTTCCACTGATCACTTATGAATCTGGTGCCCAGAAAGGTTTCTCTGGCCAGGCAAGTTTGGGATACCATGGGGTTCAACTTACTGCTTTACTCCAAGGCTGCCCAGAGCCAAGGGTATGTGTGCTGGAGCATGTTGGGGGATCTTTGAGAGATGTGGGAGAAGGCGCTGAGTGGGGTATACCATATTTCCTGAACTTACTTGACCATTTCATTTTTTTCTGCCTTTTTTAGATCATTTCATTGGACTAATTTACCTATAATGCTCTTTGGAAAATACTTCATTGTAGTTTGGTCCCTCTAGTTTTTGGTCTTAATAGCAATAGATTGATTGTCTAGTACTTTTTTTAAAATTTATTTTTAAAGTAAACTCAACCCCTAATGTGGGGCTTGGAGTCTTAACCCTGAGATCAAGAGTCGCATGCTCTACCAACTGAGCCAGCCAGACTTCTCTGACGGAGCTTTTTTTTTTTTTTTTTTTTGGAAAGATTTCATTTATTTATTTGAGAGAGAGAGAGCACACACAAGCAAGGGAGGGAGAAGCAGACTCCCTGCTGAGCCGGGAGCCCTGATTTGGGGCTTCATCCCAGGACGGAATGATGACCTGAGCCGAAGGCATATGCTTAACCCACTGAACCACCCCGGTGCCTCTGGCTAGTACTTTTAAAATAATACCTATGGCTGCTTTAATTTGCTTTTTGACCTATTTTCTTGGATACTAGCAAACATGAATGCTTTCCTTTGTATGGAGTTGCTTATTTCCTTTGTATATTTATTTATTAGACTTATTATATCTGCTTTAAAATGTGATTAGTGTTTTATATCCTTTAGATATTAATGCTTTGATGGGTTTCCATTTGTCGACTTTATTGTCAATAACCAAATGTCTATAGTTGAGTCTGCCTCTCTTTTTCTTTGTATTCCGTGTCGGTTGCTTCAGAGCCCTTCTTCTAAAAGGAATGGGCAGTGACCTTCTGCTACTTTTTCTCCTATCCACAAACAGTTAACTAATCGAAGTTTCTCTAACTTATTTTAATACTGTTTTATTTTAACTGAAGCTTTGAATGCACTTGAGAAATATCTGTGGGTCAGTTCTTGGGACACTAAGCCCAGAAGAAATGGTGAGCAAGAATTTAAATCAAAAGGAATGACATAAGATTTTACAGACTCGAGAAGCAGTAGGACACTCTGTTCCTTATCTCTTATAGCTAACGTGAATGAAGTATTCAACTGAACGAGTTAAGAGTGGATTTGGACACAGTTTTACTGCTGGCTGTGACCAAGGATATCTCAAATTGAGAGTCCCTAAAGCATTCCCTCCCTGAACCTACACTTTTCTGGGGGTTCTTTGGGTTGATTATGAGTGTCTTGCTCCAGGCTCCCGGGTCTTCCTTACATCTTCTTTGTCTCCCTGTCGATGATGGGTTCCCGACACTCCCCTGGACCCTGTCCCTTCCTGTTCATTGTCTCTGGGCCATTGGGACCACATCCTTTCTTTTCTGGACTATTCAGAGGCTAGCCGGTTTGTGTTCTCTCTCCACATTGTGCCTTAGTCATCTTTCCTGGTGGGTCAGGAGCCTTGTGTGGTCTTGGCGCCCCTCAAAGTGGTATCAGGAGTCAAGAGTGGTTGCTGCCCTGCTGTGATCTAAGCCACCTTACCAGCCTCATCTTCCCTCTACCCTCCCTACATGTGTGCACATGGAGACATGCAGACACATACATACTCACGACACCTGACTCCCTGCTGTTCTCTGAACTCCTTGATGTGTGTCTGGGGCTCTTTTTACACAAAAGATGTGCTTGGTCACCGCATACACATTTTGCCCTCGTGCCTTGGTTGCTCCTGCAGCATGTTAAGGTGAGCACTGCACAGATCTCCACTCCCTTCCAGCCTCTGTTTGGAATCCCTTCTCCCCTTTATCATACTGCATCTGTTTGGCTTCCTCCTCTTGCTCTCTGTATTATGGCATCATTTAGTGAGCTGTCTTTTGCTATTTGGAGGAAAATTGATTGAATACCTCCTTTATGCAAAGCGCAGGGAAGGAGCCATATTCTAAGGAGAAAGACCTTCATCTGGGATTCTGGGTTCAGATCTGTTCACTCTTCCTGGGAAGACCACTCCCCAACCTTTATGAGACTCTGTTACCAGCCCTTTAAAATGGGAGAGTAAGGACTTATTTTCCCATAAACCAAGTAATGGCTTTGGAATGCCCCACCTGTAGCTTTGTGTGTAAGAGTGACTTGGTAAATGTTAGTGCTGGATTTTGGTGTTCTGGGTCTGTCCTCTCACACACAGTGGGGTAGATCTATTCCAGGGAAGGACACTGGTGTATGGATGGCTGGCTTCCCCCAATTCCTTAGGCCCTCTGATGGGTAAGACCAAACCATGCTTGGGCTGACTAGGAAAACTCATCCTTGCTGTGGTCTGTCCCAGGAGCAGTTGGGACCCCAGACGGCAGCGTCAGTTGTCCATGAGCTCTGCAGACAGTGCTGATGCCAAACGTCCCCAAGAGGAAGGAAAGGACTGGGGCGAAACAGTGGGTGTGACCCGTGTCGTCCGGAAAGTGCCAGAACCTCAACCACCTTCCAGGAAGCTTCACAGCTGGACATCCGGCCCTGACTACCAGGTACCACAGTCACTGGAGGGGTTCTGTGCCTGTTGTTAGCTGGGAACTGGGGACACACGCACACAAACACATGCTCTTTTCAAATTCATCTCACTAGAATTCTGAGACAGCAGTACAACAGGTCATCTGGTTGTCTGTCCTATGCATTTGTACTTCACTGAGTTCAGTGGCTAGGTTTCTGAAAAGTCCTAGGTGGACATTTCTCTCTCTTGATTTTTCATTAAAAGATTTCTTTTAAAATTTGGAAATAGTCACAAACTTACAGAAATGTTAGAAGCATAATACAAAGAATATTTTTCTCTGAACCATTTGCAGAGTAAGTTGCCAGCCCGGTCAGGCCCTGTCACCACGGAACACTTGTATTTATTTTCTGCCTCCTAGATAACCACGGTCAAAACCAGGAAATTAGCATTGATATACATCAGTGCCATCTGATTCTCAGACTCCATCCAACTTGTACCATTTGTCCCATCAGTATCCTTTGTGTAGAAGAATCCAGTTCAGAATCACATGCTGCCTTCACTCTGGAATAGTCCCCCAGCCTTCCTTAACTTTCATGACTTTGACATTTGTGGAGATTGTAAGCCAGTTATTTTGTGGAATGCACCTCAAGTTGGTTTTATCTGGTGCTTCCTCATGACTGGGTTCAAGGTTTCCATTTTTGGCTAGAATGTCTCAGAGATGACACTGATTCTTTTGCTTGTGCCCCACCAGGTGACAGGAAATTCCACTCTGTCCATGCTCTGACAACCTTCACTCTGATCTCTTGACTAAGGTTTTCATGTCCACCCAATTTCACTCTATGGAGTTTCTCTCTTTCACGTTTGTAACTGATAAGAAATTGTGTGGAGATACTTTGAGACTATGACTGTCCTGTTTCTCATTGAACTTTGAGTTTACTTACTTTTATCAGTGGGTTATAATCTGTTCTTTTTGTTGTTTTGGAGCTGCAGGTATTTTTTATTTGGCTCGCAGGAACCTCTCTAAGCTGGCATCTGTCCTTCTGTCCCACTCGTTATTGAGCAGTTTCCTTGATTTCTGATTGGACAAGCTTTTTTTCTTTTTTCTTTTTTTTTTTTAATTCCAATCTTTTTTAAAAGTAATCTCTACACCCAATGTGGGGCTTAAACTCACAACCCCAAGATCAAGAGTCGAATGATTGGTCTACCATCTGAACCAGCCAGGTGCCCCGGGACAAGCTTTTCCAAGGTCATTTTGTCTTGTCCTTGCCTTGATCAAGGATCAGCCCTTATGATATTTAGAAACCAATATGTGAGTCCTAGGGGAAGTGCTCACTGCTTTTGGCGTGTTATTGTTCCTAGGCCTTCTTGGTGGACAGGGTGAGGAAATGTGTGTATGTATATACAGATATACATATGTGTACACATATATACATGTTCACATCTTTATTATTTCTTTTTTAAAGATTTCATTCATTTATTCATGAGAGACACACAGGGAGAGAGACAGAGACACAGGCAGAGGGAGAAGCAGGCTCCATGCAGGGAGCCCTATGTGGGACTCGATCCCAGGACTCCAGGATCACGCCCTGGGCCGAAGGCAGGCCGCTAAACCACTGAGCCACCCAGGGATCCCAACATCTTTATTATTTCTATATCTGTATGGAGAACCATGACTTCACAGTGATACCTCTGGTTCCACACAATCCAACTTGGTTCTCTCCCCTTCTGTATCTATAATTCCACTTTCCCATTGTCCCTAGTATTCACACTTACTTGATCAGTCCCCCTGTGTGTGACCAGTCTCCCATTTTTGTCCCCATCCTCTCTCCCTTGCACAGATGCCCTCCTCGCCCACTCAGCTGTCAGTGCCCCCCAACCCAGTCCCAGCACCACGTGGATACCCTGAATCTCCCTGCTGGGCCACCTCTCCTTATGATGAATCCTCACCGTGCTTGGTTGGGCTCTAACTCCCACACTAGCCACATCTCCACATGGACACCCTCTTCTCCCTGCCTGCGTTCTGACCACCTGCTCTGAACCACCAAGACTGTTGGTGCCAGATGCCTGCCTTATTGTTCCAGACTTCATGACTTTGAGACTGATTGTTCAGGAGGCACAGAGTTAGGTCTGAGAAAGGCATTAACTTAAATACATTTGGCATAACAACAATAACAGAATTGCCACTTTTTAAAACGATTTATTTATTCATGAGAGACACAGATTGAGAGAGAGAGAGAGAGAGAGAGAGAGCAGAGACACAGGCAGAGGGAGAAGCAGGCTCCATGCAGGGAGCTCGATGTGGGACTTGATCCTGGGACTCCATCCAGAATCATGCTCTGGGCCCAAGGCAGGCGCTAAACTGCTGAGCTATCCAGGGATCCCAGAATTGCCATTTTCATTTTTTATTTTTTAATTTTTAAAGATTTTATTTATTTATTCATGAGAGACACAGAGAGAGAGGCAGAGACACAGGCAGAAGGAGAAGCAGGCTCCATGCACCCTGGTCCCCAGGATCAGGAATTGCCATTTTTAATGCATTTTGCTATTTAAGGGACTCTGATTCCACATCTTATAAAATGAAAATGTCTTTATCTTTAGTCTTTTTTTTTTTTTTTGAGCACCTATTGTGTGCCAGGCACTGTGCTAGGTACAGGGAAAACAAAATTGACAGCTATTCTTGGAAATTACCCTGTAATTAATCCAAATTTCATTCCTGTGTTGGAGTTGTTCAGTATTCCAAGGAGGTTTCACTTTGACCTTCTCATAAACAACAATGTGAGTTAGGTGAATCAACAAAGAAAAAAAAAATCTGTATAATTTTATGCATTCAGATTTCTAAAAAGTTCCAATATTTTGCAGAGGACTGGGTCTTTAAATGACAGCTAATATTGGGGCACTTCAGAAAGGCACCTCAGAAGTCTTGCGGGGCGATCCATGTACCCTTTGATTCTGTCCTTTCATTTCTAGGAGCACTGGGGGGTGAGGTAGATGATAGTGATGGCGACATGCCACCATGTATGCACTGCAGAGTGTGGACAGGCCTAGTCCAGGGCAATAGGAAAGGAAAGTATGTGCTTTGGCCCCAGTTACCTTGTGTGAAAGTACTATCATGCTTCCAAGTTAGAAGTTCCTAATCTTCTCTGATTGTCCTTATTGTCCCTGGATTATAAGAAGTTAACTTTCAGGAGAAAAGCCCTTGGTTGCAGTGAATGTATTACATGGTGCTTTTGTGGAGGGTTCATGAGTGCACTAGAAAAGGCACAGATCTTGTTTGTTTACGTCTGAGGACTCATGACCGTTGTACGCATCTGTCGCTTGCACCCAGAATGGGAAGCTCTGTTTTGGGATGGTCATTCCTTATTGTGCTTTCAGTGACTGGTGCTCCCTTATACTTGCCCATCAACTGTGCTGTGATGTATTCCGCATGAAGCTCTGTTCCCTGCAGCTTGGGGAGAAACCTTCCCAACATCAAGAGGGCTTCCTACTGGTTTCCCAGTAGTAATTAGCAACCAGTGAGAGATCCAGAGTAGATGAAGTGGCCAAAATAGATGTTTTCTGTGAAGAGTCATTTTGAAGCCATCTCTCTGACTGAATTTTAATTTCTTGCTCCCTTTATACCTGGAGGTTTCGGTATTTTCATGGGAGAAAGAGGAGAGCTCATTTGCAACTTAAGTAGGAAATTAAGTGGGTCTCTGCTCCTGGCTGCTGGCCGTGGAGGCCCTAATCTTGTGTGCGTGTTAGCAGTGGCCAGAATGTCCAGGCACTGTTTGCTGTCTTGATTGCGGTGTGGAGCATGTTCTTTGTTGCACATCCACTGTCCCAAGGGGCCTCCTTTATCCCCAGCTTACACATGAGGAGTTAAGGTTTAGGACGTTAGCACTTGCCTAGACGTCACTGCAGATTAGTAAAAGACCAAGCAGGATTGAAACCCAGGTCCACCGAACACGTGACTGCTGCCTCTTGAAGAAGCTCAGGGGTCTTGGGAATGAGAACTGATGGTGGGGTAGCCCATCTCCTGGGCTTGGGGCCCATTGTTTCATCTGACTTTATTCTCTTGGCAGAAGTCCTCGATGGGCAGCATGTTCCGGCAACAGTCTGTTGAGGACAAAGAGGACAAGCCACCCCCACGGCAGAAATTTGTGCAGTCCGAGATGTCGGAGGCTGTAGAGCGAGCCCGAAAACGCCGGGAGGAGGAGGAGCGCCGAGCCCGCGAAGAGAGGCTGGCTGCCTGTGCTGCCAAGCTCAAGCAGCTGGACCAGAAGTGTAAGCAGGCTCAGAAGGCGGGCGAGGCCCAGAAGCCTGCAGAGAAGGAAGTACCTCGATCTCCAGGCACCGAGAAGCTGCCCCCACAGGAGAATGGCCCTGCTGTGCGCAAAGGTAAGTGCTGGGCCCTTGTTCTGTGAACCGGACACCCTGGGCTGTTGGCGGTGCTCTGTTGTTTGCATCTTCCTGGCTTCCTAGCATAACCTGTGGCGAACAGCAGGGGATGCTGGGAAGCTCTGGTCATTGAGTTCTGGCCTTGGGCTCACATCCTGTTGCAGCTTCTGAAAGTGGGAGGCTACACACTTCGCCTCCCTGGCGCTTGTTTCCTCATCGGTAAAACAGGATGGAAATAGTATGTACCTGCCTGCACACTGAGGGGCCGCGGGACAGAAAGTACAGAAAGTGCTTGGCACAGCTTCTAGATACGGAAAGCATGCTTGATAACCAACATTGTCCCCATTACCCTCATCACTGTTCTCTTTCTGCCACTGCTCAACCAAAGATGCGGGTGCTGGAGGGCTTTAATACAAGCACAGGGTCCTTTCAGTTCATTTAAGAAAATCAGGAAGAATGTGCCTTTGTGACATTGAGAGAAGCCCGCCTGCTTGTTAGAGTACATTCTTCCTGGCGTTAATTCTGCAAAGGATGGATCACACGGCTCCCTAAGAGACATTGAACAGCACTGTGTGGCGGAGAGTAGCTCTTGCAGCAGTTTTCAAGAGTACCACCGACTTTGTTCTTTGTGATATTCTTAAATGAACTAAAAACAACTCTTTAGGAGGGAAGGATCTGATAAAAAGTTCAGTCCCTGAAAGCTTCTCAGATGAGTCTCGTTCCTGACCTGCTGGTCCTCAGCCCCCTTCTGGCCAGGAACAGAAGTCTTAGCACAGCCTGTGCCCAGCCTCTGTACTTGCTGAGATGGGGCGGTGGAGAGAGGCCAGGAAGGCGGGTGCTTTGGTGTGAGCCTGGTCAGTTGAGACTGGTGCTTGGGGTGGGCCTGGGTGCTGCATGTGTGCCTGTCCTGTGCTTCTGCAGTGTTCCTCTGGGTCCCTGAGGCTTTGCATTGGGGTTCCATCATCCCCTGCAGGAGAATTAAGAATGCAGATGTCAGTTATACTTCAGTAAAGCTGGGGTCCCCCCCAAAAAAATTGCAAAGCTGAGACAGGGGCAAGAAAGAAGGAAATTCAGAGAGAACCAAGATGGGAGATTGTGTTGAGCGCTAGCTACCGATCAGGCAGTGTTTTAAGTGCTTTGCATGGATTATCTCACTTAATTCTCACAAAGGCCTGTGGGGTAAACAGCATTGCTCTCCTCCCTTTACTGATGAGGAAGCAGGTGAGGAGAGGCCCGTGACTTGCTGGGCCACACAGCCTTTGGATAGGACTCCTGCTGCTCAGTTGATGGATGTGGGCTGTTGCTGAGCTGGTGGCTGCTCTGGTTTATCGGAGTCCTTTTCAATAAAGCCTCTCTTGCCTGGAACCAAATCCCAGCTGCACCACTGACTGTGTGACCTCTGGCAGTTCACCTGACCTTTCGACCCTTAGCTTTTTTGCTTCCAAAGGGATGGCATCATGGGGAGTCTGTGAGCTCATGCATGCGGGGTGGTTAGCCCAGTGCCAAGGTTCAGGGCTGTGAATCGTCCAGCAGTGGAATGTCCATGCCAATAAGAGCAACCATTTGCTGTAAACATTTGGCCAGTCCAGCTTCAGTGAGCTCACTGTAGCCATTTTTCTGGTTATTTGTCCTCCAGGCTCTCCTGAGTTCTCTGCCCAGGGAGCCACCAACACGTTTTTGGAAGAAGCCCCCATGGTTCCTCCAGCTGTGGCCCAGAGTGGCAGCAGTGAGGAGGGAGCCAGGGAGGCTGGGTCCCCTGCACAGGAGTTCAGCAAGTACCAGAAGTCACTTCCTCCCAGATTCCAGCGCCAGCAGCAGCAGCAACAGCAGCAGGTAAACAGGGTCACTGTACACAGATCTGCTTGCTAAGTGGATGTCCCCTCCCCCTTCAGTGAAAACAGCCAACAGAAATCTACCCTCCTCTAGCCCCATCCCCGGCAGGGGTGTCAGGAGCTGCACCAAAAACATACAGCCTTAGAAGATCAGCCCTGGCCATATGTTATTTTTCCAAGTGGTTTCTCCTGTGAATAAATAAAACCGTTGTTAGTAGCTTATTGGCTTTGTCTGAAGTTGTAGTTTTGCCGAAGACTGTTTTTTTCATTCAGAACAGTTCACTGTGGCCTCTCCTTAGACCAGTGTTGTCCATCCTGGGACCCTCCCAGGGAGTAAGGAGGCCCAGAGGGCTTGGAAAGCTGTCAGAAGGTGTGCTAGCATTTGGTTAAGGACGTAGGTTTGTAGGTGTTGAGTTGAACTGATTCGCATCCTGATCTTGCAACTTCTCTAGTCAAGTGTGGCCTTGGATGGGCCAAGAGGAATGAATTCCTGCCTTAGTATGGCAGAGAGGCTTTTATGGCACCTACAGCCTGGCTTATCGGTGTTAGCAGTATTCTCTTTATTAGGGTTTCATAAATCGTAGAAGCAATCTTGTCTGCCCCAGGAAGGATGGCCTGGGTGATGGTTGTCATCATACCAATCTCTTGTGGTCTGGCTGGAGCACTCGTTGATGAGGAGTGATACGCGGAGGAACAGAAGATTACTGACGTGCATTGCACTTTGGTGGGAAACAGATGAAACATGGATGTGACATAGCTTAGCAGCTGGATGTGCAATAAATCATTGTTAAGAACAAGCCAGCGTGGTTCAGAACACGTGTGCCTTAGGGAGACAAATCAGGTTCTTCAGCTGATTCTCCAGAATCTCTTCTAGTTGCATTTAATACCTTCACCTCAGATCTTCCTTTCCCTGGGCCCCTGTGAGATACTTCAGAAGCTCACCAGGTCCTGAGCTATAAACGGGAGGTGACGTTGTGCTTTTGACAGTGTAGTAGTAGCGTGAGCCAGTGTTGTACAGTTACACACAGGCTTGGTGGAGAATTACTGATCAGGAAGGTCTCTGGGGTGATTCCAGCCAGATGCAGCAGTAAGAGTTGCTCTACGTAACACTTCTGGGGGGTGGGGGGTGGGGATGGGTAAGTCCTTCCTTAAGAATAGAAAGGAGTCTGAAAGCACCAGGGCAGCCGAAGGAGGCTGGCAGACTGACTGTCTGGTCCGGTTCCCTAGGGGCCTGGGGTCCAGACAGAGGAGGAGCTCTGGGTGGAGGCCTGCTGCCGAGAGCTGTGTTTATTGAGTGCTAGTGAGTGCCCGCAGAGCTGTCCGGCGAATGCAGGCCAGGCAGGCATTCTTGTTTGCAGATTGGGAAGACATGGCCGGGCAGCTCTTCTTGTCTTGACTGCACCTGAGTCCTGCTGGAATGCTGATTCTGGGTGCACTTGTGAGGGCAGCCCTGGAGGTCGCCGGTGACGATGGGGTTAGGGCTGGAAGTGAACCGTCACTAGATCTAGGTCCTTGATTTTGAATGTTTTGCTGATACTCATTTGTGCAGTGATTTTTTTTTTCTATGTGCCATGATTGGTGGTAGGAGGCATGGGTAGATACTAGAGTGAACTTGGCCTGTAGTCTCTTACAGTTTTGTTAAGGGAAATCAGAAATATAAAATAATAACCTGTTAGTGCTACAGAGAAGCACCAGTGTTGCAGAGGAGAGGACAGTGGCCTGATCCTGCCCGGGGTCTTTCAGCGGGATGCCCAGAAGAACGGTGTTTTAAGCTGAAGGAAGAGCAGAGGTGTGAGCCAGGATGGGAGGGAGCAGAAGCCTTTTAGGTGGAGGGCCCAGTGTGTTACTGGGGCCCCACGAGGCAGGCAGCCACATGGCACAGAAAGCCAGGCAGTCATGCCCAGTGAAGCTAGTGGCAGGTAGGGCAGCTCATATGGGACCTGGTGGGATTCGGGCTATTCCACGGAGAGCTGTGGGGAACCATCAGAGACTCCTGAAGCCCGGGCTTGATGTGACTGTGTGCTGTGGGGGGCGCGTAGGGGAGTGGGTATGTGCGTGTGAGTGAGCATGCATATGTGTGCTGTATGTACATGGGTGTGTGTTTGCCCATGAATACACACACAGGCATGGTCTCTGCCTTGGGGCACCCGTCTAACCTGATCTCTTTCCCCGGTCAGGAGCAGCTGTACAAAATGCAGCACTGGCAGCCGGTATACCCTCCACCTTCCCACCCACAGCGCACCTTCTACCCTCACCATCCCCAGATGCTGGGTTTTGATCCCAGGTGGATGATGATGCCTTCCTACATGGACCCACGAATCCCGCCCACTCGCGCCCCGGTGGATTTCTACCCCTCTGCCCTCCATCCCTCAGGTAAGCATGCTCCCGTGGGCCATGCCAGTAGAGTCCAGGATGGTGCGGGGGGGAACGGTGTTGCTTCAGGAATCAGACCCACCTGGCTTCTAATATGGCCTCTTCTGTAACTCACAGGTTCAGTCTGAATTTTAACTTTGTTGTTTGCAAAGTGGGAATGATATGGTTGTAGTATATTCACACAGAATCTCGGTGAAGAGTCCTTCTGGTCATGCATTATACATTGTTTTAATTAGTTCTGATGTTCCTGCTGTGTTGTTTTGTCCATCTTTTTTTTGTTATTGAAGTTTTATCTCTTTCTATTCTCCTTTTTTTTGTCTCTTTCCATTCTTATTGTTCTTTGTGCCTTCTCTTTCTTTTTGACCTTGATTTGTCCTTCCCAAGGTTTGTGTAATGCCATTTTTAAAAAGCAACGTTTGAAAAATAAAAAAAATTAACAAATTAGCAGTTTTTGGATTTCTTAATTCCTTTGTTTTATTTGACTTTTATTTCATTACTTTCTGTTCTTTTCCTCATTAATTCCTTTGAAATGTCTCTGTTCTTTTTAAATAATTGTGTTGAATACTTAGCTCATTAATTTTTGACCTTTTGTTGTATTTAAGTATTACCTGAACTATAGGTACAGCATTTTTATTGTGCAGTTTTAAATGTTAGTCTGGTTTTGATTTGTTACCTTTCTTTGGTTGATGATTTTTAAGGGTATGTTGTAAATTTGCCAAATATTTAGAAATTTAAGATTATCCTTATGGTGTTAATTTATAATATAATTTCTTGATGATCAGGTGACATTGCACGATACAGACACGGGGATCAGGAAACTTTTCTATAAATTCCAGATAGTAAATATTTTAGGCTTTGAGCAGCTACTCCCATTTTGTTGCTGTAGAACAAAAATGACCAAGGACGATAGTAATTAAACGAGTCTGATTGCTTTCGAGTAAACCTTTATTTTTAAAGAACAGGTGGCAGGTCAGGTTTCACCCAAGGGCTTCCTGGTGCCAGCCATCTCCTGATCTAGGTTGCTTGGTATTTGTTGAGATTTTCTTTTAGGCTCTGACATGATCTCTTTTTTAACATTCTGGGTTTGCTTGAAAATACTATCCTCCAATTGGATGTGGCCTACGACACGGAACATGCTGACTGTGTGGTGTGGCACGCATCTATCCCGCCACAAGCGATGTGTGAAAGTCTCCTGGTGTGGCTGCAGATCTGTCCAGTCCCTGAGCCTGTCAGGTTTTGCTCTCTCTGTCTGGAAGCAGACAGGTGTGGCATGACACATCTCATTCTCCTCGTCGTCATGTACACCCCACCATCCTTGACTGTGTTTCCTTCCTCTGATGTCCACTCTGTCTAATCTTCATGTCATCGTTCTGGTTTTCTTTTGACAAGTGCTTATTTGAAATCTTTTTTCCATCTTGTTCCTGTCAGCCTCTCTGAGCCCTTTCTTGGGGGGAATCGGTCCTTGTCCAAAAAAGGCACGTATGGTTTTAGCCACTCTGAAAATCTCTGACTTTAATTGCCAAAGTGCCTCACATTAGATCTTGGGGATTAGTACATTGGGTTTCCTACTCTCCTATTTTATGCTTTCCTGTTTGTCTTGCCTTTCTGTGCATTTCTTTTTCTTCCTTTCTTTTGTATCAATTTTTCCTCTTCTTTATGTTGTTGTGCTCTGCGTTCTGTTTGTCCCTTGTTAGCTACATTCTCACCTGCACCGCTGACTTACCACGGCCCGTCAGCATCCTCATCCCTAACCTGAGCTCTGATGATGTCATCGGTACTATCTTTCTCTCGTTCCCTGGAATCTTACTTCCTTGTTTTTATGCCTACCAAATTAGTCATTATTGTTTTTGTTGTTTCATGCAACCTGTGCTTGTTCAGATTTGCTTCTGTCTACTGGTTTCTCTGCTCCCTTCTCTTTCTTGCATTTTCCTTCCATCTGGGTGTGACATGCTTCTTCATGAAGTACATTCTGTTGAGTTCTTCAGGAAATGTTTTTGGCAGTAGGTTTTCTTTGCCTGAAAAAGTCTTTATGACCCCCTTTCTCTAGCTGGGTATAGAATTCTAGGTTGGCAATTCTTTCAGGACCAAGAAGATAGTATTTCATTTTGCTTTTCTTTTTTCTTTTTTTGTATTTCATTTTTCTTTTGGCTCCTGTTGTGCTGAGTGATTCATGTCTGTGTAATCTGCTCTGTTTTCTCTCTGGTTGCTGCCTTTTTTTTTTTTTTTTTTTTTTTTTTTTGCAGTTTTATACTTTGATAATTAGCAATTAGTTGTCATCCACATTAACTGTAGATATTTGAACGTGGTGACAGGTACATAGATAACCAGTGTCTAGAGCTTGTTTGGTGAATCTTTATCCTCATTATATTTTCTGGATAACCACACACAGATACAGTATGGAACATTCCTTAACTCCTTTGGCCCAGACAGCTGTGTTGAGCCTGGTGTCACTGTGCACATCTGGAGTTTCCATCTCCTTCATGGCAGATTTCTGGATCTCTTTGAGTGCCTGAGGGGCGTGCTTCTTGAAATCCACTCCATGGATGCACTGGTGAATGTTGATGGTATATTCTCTGGTTACTACCTTGTTGATGGCAGAACACCTTCTTGCCACCCTTCTTTGTGGGAGCCTTTCTGCTGGGCCCTGGTTCTCTCTGGCTGTTTTTAAGATCTCTTTTTCTTTGGCCTCTTGCGGTTCTGTCTCAATGTGTTGTGTCAATTTTCTCTCCAGCTATGTCCAATCTACTTTTTTTTTTTTTTTTAATTTATTTATGACAGTCACACAGATAGAGAGAGAGAGGCAGAGACACAGGCAGAGGGAGAAGCAGGCTCCATGCACCGGGAGCCCGACGTGGGATTCAATCCCGGGTTTCCAGGATCGCGCCCTGGCCAAAGGCAGGCGTTAAACCGCTGCGCCACCCAGGGATCCCTACTTTTTTTTTTAATTGTCCAGTGAGTTTTTAATTTCAGTGACTATATTTTTATTACTGGAATTTTTTTTTCTCAAATCTTCATTTTTAAAAAGATTTACTTAACTTATTTTAGAGAGAGAGTGCATGGGTGAGTGGGAAAGGGTAGAGGGAGAGAGAGAGAGAGTCTTCAGGTGGACTCCTCTCTGAACATGGAGCCCAATGTAAGACTTGATCCCAGGACCTTGAGATCATAACCTGAGCCAAAATCAAATCAAATCTATTTTTTGTGTATGCATATTTTTTTAAGTTCTCAATTAGTTTTTGTGCTTTTATAATTTAAAACATAATTTCCATTTTTATTATTCTGTTATCTGAAGTTCTTAGGGAGGCATATAACCCTGTGGCCTGCTGTGGGCTCATGGTGGGCTGCTTCCCACATTGCTGGTAATTTTGGATTGTGAGTTCATCTTCATAGAACTTTATTTATTGTAGGAATCCAGTATGGCTTGAATGGAGAGTCAGTTCCTCCAGGATGGTTTTATATCTTCTCCTTCCAGCCTAGAACCACCTGTTACTCTAACTTAGGAAATTTCTGAGCCACTGTAGGGGTATAAATCTGAACCTTCCTCCCGCTAGACTGCATGAAAGCCTACACAGCCTAGCAGCAAATTGTCTTTCCCTAACTGGCCCAGGCCAAGACACAAACTTAGTTGTTCCTGTATACTAAAGAGCATGTATTTTTAAATCTGCCTTGTAATTGAGGCCCTTACCCTTTGAGAGTCTCCATCTTGAACAGCGTCCCAGTTACAGCTCTCTGCCTTATCCAGAAAAACACCATCCCCTGTGCTGTCCTGTGTTGAAGAAGCCCATAGTTGCTGGGACTGACAAGTGTGTTTCCCTGCTCCTGTCCAGGAGGCACCAGCTTGTGGCACTGGCCTGGGGCTGTGGTTTCAAACCCCTGGGGGTTTCCCGTTTTCTTGGGAACCTCTACAGGTGAATTTTTTTTTTTAAGATTTTTATTTATTTATTCATGAGAGACACAGAGAGGCAGAGACATAGGCAGAGGGAGATGCAGGCTTCCTGCAGGGAGCCCAATGTGGGACTCGACCCCAGGACCCTGGGATCACACCCTGAGCCAGAGGCAGATACTCAATCACTGAGCCACCCAGGTATCCCTACAGATGAAATGTTTGACACATTCTGCCCAGCATTTTTGTGGCAGAGAGTATTTGTGGTAGCAGGGTTTTTCAGGTAGTAAGAGCTGCCACATTGCCAAAAATAAGTCATTGTACAGTATCAAGCGCTTTAGTGTGCCTCATAATCAGTATTTAATGAGTGGTATGTAATTTTAGAGTTCAGAGAGGGTCTCTACCACTTGATTCACACTATATGTTGGATTCCTGTATCAATGGAATGGCATTTGAACAGGGCACTCCATACCTACAAGAAAGCTTTAAACCCACTGGCTTAATTTAGAACCATTTTATGGCTAAAAGATGGGCACAACAAAGTGCATGACTGCTAATAAGCGCTGTGAAGAGAGTATCTGAAAAATCATATCTTTTCTCCAAGGACTTAGGCCCGATAAGACTTTTAATTTCTGCACTGCCTCCCCCTCTACCCTCCCCCACTTGATCAATATGGACAGAGAGACCATGGGACCACACTTTCCCCATCCAGCTTATATCTGGTGGGGTGAAGTGTATGTCTCCCCCTTTAAAGATTTATTTCTTTGAGGCAGGGGGAGGGGCAGAGGGAGAGAGAGAATTTCAAGCAGGCTCCCCTCTAAGCATGGAGCACGATGGAGGGCTCCATCCCATGACCTTGAGATCATGACCTAAGCTGGAACCAAGAGTCAGTTGGACACTCAACTGACAGAGCCACCGTCAGGTGTTGTCTGTCTCTTAATCACCTCAGGCCAGTTAACAGTTTGTTGTCATATGTGGGTCTCTCTGCTCTCGTTCATTGTACAAAACTGTGGAGTATTGCAGTCAATCATGGGGCTAGAAGTAGAAGGAACTGGGGCACCTGGCTGGCTTATTCGGTGAAGTATCTGACTCTTAATCTTGGGGTTGTGGGTTTGAGCCCCACGTAGAGTGTAGAGAGAACTAAAAAATAAAATCTTAAAATAAAAAAGGAACTGAAACCAAAATCCCTTCCCAAGTCTTCTTGCTTGAGTTTTTAAGCAGCCAGACGCCAGCCCTTTGTCCACACAAGCACTCTGGGTTGCAGCTCCTCTTCCTCACATGTATGTATGCAGGAGACTTAAGGCGTCTGTGCTTGCACACAGACCTTTGTGGCTGATGAATTGGCCCTTCTATGCCTTCTGCTGACAGGAGGAGCTCTCCAGTTAGTTTATTTCCAGTTTCCATTTGCCAGTTTGGTGGATTCAACACGGAGCTCTGAACCCGGGACCTCGGGTGGGCCAGGCCTTAGAACGGGTCTTTTGGACACCTCATATTGCATGCATGTGTGCTTTCAGAGGTTCTGAGGTCCGAAAACTTGGTGAGCCCAGTGATGGTGAGCAGGTGGGGTGTTGTGTCCACATGACAGGGTAACCATTGTCTCCTCTGAGCCTCTGGTTGTCCCTGAGATTTGAGCATGGCTCTCTGAATGAGCTGATACAGACAAGTTCTTTGCCTTTGCCTTCTTCAGGATTGATGAAGCCACTGATGCCCCAGGATTCCCTCAGTGGGACTGGCTGTCGCTCTGAGGACCAGAACTGTGTGCCCTCACTGCAAGAAAGGAAAGTGGCCACCCTCGACCCAGCCCCCGTGTGGAGCCCCGAGGGTTACATGGCACTGCAGAGCAAGGGCTACTCGCTTCCCCAGCCAAAATCGAATGACACTTTGGCCATGGACATGCATGTCAGGTGAGATGAAACTTGGCCCTATTGGCCTGCAGTTCAAGGCAGAATCTCCGTGTCCTGCTTGCAAGGGGTTCTGGGTGAAGCTCTGTCCCCGGAGGCTTTGCCCAGAGGAAGGGCGGCTTTACAGGGACTGGCAATGCCCTCCGGGGATGGAGAATGTGATGAGTTTTGCTTGAATGCCTCCGTATGAGAGACGATTACCTGTTGGCGAGACTGGCAGCGGCTGAGGAGAGGTCCTGGGTCAGAGGCAGATCTGTGGAACCTTGGGTCAGGGTGAGGGGTGGGTCCAGCAGGGTCGAGTGCCCGGGTCGTGGCTCCTTCCTGTGAAAGTGAAGCAAGCACACCCTGCTGGCCCAGTGCCCCAGACTCTCCGTGGACTCCCAGGCTCCAGCTTGTCATTGCACCGGAGGACCCCAGCTGTTCTGCCTCCAGGTGGCACCCTGAGTCCACCAGCAGCCACCGCATTCTTCACTCTGGACTCCAGGGGCCACCCAGCAACCCATGGCCCAGCAGCTCTGAGACACGTTTAAAGATAGAGCAAATGTTGGTGCTTATGTTTTTTTTTTTCTTTTTCGTTTTCTTTTTTAAAAAATTTTTTTCTTTTTAAAACTAAGCTCTGTGTTCAGCATGGAAACCAGGAACCAGGCTCCAATCACATTGACTGATTTTTCTGGTTCCTTTTCAGGAATGAAAGCTCTTACTCTGCCTCACCCGGAAGGTCAGGGGGCGTAGGTGCCCAGCGCGATCTCCTTGAGGAGAGAGGGGAGGAGTTCTTGAGTGCTTTTGACAAGAAGGCCCAAGCAGACTTTGACAGCTGTGTCTCTTCTCAAAGAATAGGCCAGGAGCTTTTGTTTCCACCCCAAGAAAATGTTCAGGAAGCAGGTGCTCCTGGGCGTCACACCCCAGACCTCAGGTGTTCCCCACTGGAGCCCGACTTTGCCCCAGCTGAGAAAAAGCAAGAGTATAGCAATTGGGATGTTAGCCATCCACCAGAGGCCACCGACACAGTCAACGGCATCGAGAAAGGGGCACTCCGGGAGGAGCCGTCGTTTAACGTCTCTTCCTGGGAGAAGGAAGGGAGCCCCAACAAACAGCCGTCCCTGGAGCCCGAGTGGACATCCGAGCCCCGGGGCCCCGGCAGCCAGCAGCAGGAGCAGACCGGCAGGACGCGGAGGTCAGGACCCATCAAGAAGCCTGTCCTGAAAGCCCTCAAGGTAGAGGACAAGGAGAAGGAGCTTGAGAAGATGAAGCAGGAACTGGGGGAGGACAGTGCCCGTGTGGCTAAGGAGAAAGGGCCGGTTCGCACGGCGGACAAGGACGAGGATGAAGAGAACGACCCCGCGCTGGCCAATTCCTCCCCCTCCCCCTTGGAGGACCAGGGCTCTGCTCGAGCTAGTTTGGGCCGCGAGGCCAGCAGGTGTGAAGAGGACGAGAAGCCCGACAGGGCCTGGGAGAGCAGACCCTCCCGGGAGTCGAGCGACACTCCCCCAACGAAGAGGAACAACTGGATCTTTATCGACGAGGAGCAAGCCTTTGGGGGCCGTGGACAGGCCCGGGGCCGGGGCCGTGGCTTCCGAGAGTTCACCTTCCGCGGGCGGCCTACGGGTGGCCCCAGCCTCTGCGGTGGGGGGGTGCTCGGGGCTCGGGGCATCTACAGCAGTGGCCAGAGAAGCGGCCGTGGCCGGGGGCTGCGGGACTTTGGCCAGCCCGAAGACTTCCCTAGGGCCAAGCCGCGGCGGCGGATCGCCAGTGAGACGCACAGTGAGGGCTCCGAGTACGAAGAGCTTCCAAAGCGGCGGCGGCAGCGAGGCTCGGAGAACGGGAGCGAAGGCTCGCTTCTGGAGCGGGAGGGCAGCACCCTGAGGAAGGGCGACTTCAGGGACTCCTGGCGCTCCAATAAGGTGTGCTCCGAGGACCCTGGCGGCCCCGAAGCCAAGAGCCGGGGCCCTCGCACCTTCGGTCGGGCGCTCCCTCCGCGGCTAAGCAGCTGCGGCTATGGGCGAAGAACCTTCGTGTCCAAAGAGGCCACCCACTGGCAGAGCAAGAGCCCTGGTGCCTCCTGGCCGGAGTATGGCTCCCCGGACACGTGCGGGTCCCGGCGACCTGCAGACAGAGACTGTGTCCCCGATGCCTACAGACACTCGGACTCATTTGGTGCCAGGGCCTTCGAGGACAGCCGCCCAGAGGACAAGAGGCACTTCTTCCCTGATGACCATGCAGCCGACTCAGAGGGCGCAGAGAACCGGCCCTTCCGGAGGAGGCGCCCTCCACGCCAGGACAAGCCTCCGCGCTTCCGGCGCCTCCGACAGGAGCGGGAATCCCTGGGCCTGTGGGGGCCTGAGGAGGAGCCCCACTTGCTGGCAGGGCCATGGCCAGGCCGGCCCAAGCTCTGCCCTGGGGACAAGAGTGGGTCCCCTGAGCTCTCATACCAGAACTCGTCTGATCACGCCAACGAGGAATGGGAGACAGCCTCTGAGAGCAGTGACTTCAGTGAGAGGCGGGAGCGGCATGAGGGCCCCGGGGTCGAGCCCGACCCGCAGGTGGACAGTAGCCTGCCTGGGGCTGCCGTGGGCGAGAAGAAGGAGCTGGCCAAGAGGAGCTTCTCCAGCCAGAGGCCCCTGGCCGACAGGCAGAGCCGAAAGCTGGAGCCGGGGGGGTTTGGGGAGAAGGCCGTTAGGCCAGGTGGTGGTGACACTTCTCCCCGTTATGAGAGCCAACAGAATGGGACGCCTTTGAAAGCCAAAAGGTAAAACACAAACCCAACCCCGGGCTCTTTTCTGTTGCTGTTGTTCTGTTACTAAACCCGTTTTTTTAAGCAGCACTCCATGCATGCGTGTCCTGCCGTGTGTCAGGTGCCCCGACTCTGTTCCTCTGTCATGCTCCAGGAGGGCGACTGCCCACCAAGGCCATTATTTTGTGTGAGCGTCTCCATCACTTGCTCTTGCACTGCTTGTGTGCTTCTCTTGTGGCGTGTTGTTGTTGTGGTCCCCACCTTAGCGGTCCTGTGGTGGCTGCTCCAGCAGTGCCCCCAAAAGTTCAGCCTCCATATGTGCCTTGCTGCCCTGCTGGGGTGAGAGTCACTACCTGTGCATGGCACAGTCTCCCAGATCCCTCTGCCCCGGGTCTGCTGTCACCCAGCATCCTGGTGGGCCGGCTGGCCTCCTGGCCCAGTAGGGACAGTGAGATGTGGCTCCGCTTCAGGGGTTGACCGCCTCCTTGTCGGAAGAGTCATGTAGTAGCCCAAGGGAGTGAGCTGCCTGAGGCCCTGTGAGCATCTCTCATTGAACCTAGAGGTCTTTCGGGTTGCTGGTGTGGCGGCTCATTGCCTGCAGGTTGCCCAGAATCAGGGAAAGGGGAAGGTATGTGCAGGGAGTCATTTGTACGACCTGATTTCCTGCTCACACGCAGGTCATGCCTCTGGCTGAGGAAGGCTGCTTCTTGCCTCCCAACCTCCTTAGAATCCAGGACTAGAAACCTGGGGTGGGATTAACTCAGAGCCCCAGAGAAGGTACCCTAAGAGGACGCTGATCCTTCTAGGTGTCAGGCTAGCTTAGCCTTGCTAGCCAGTCTCACGTGCCAGGAGCAGAAGGTTCTGAGGCTCTGCTCGGAGCATCCCCTCTGTTGTCTCTTTTGTGCAGGCCTGCTGAGTCTGGCATGTGGTGGGGAGTAACAGAGGTCCTGAGCCCTGGAAGGGATGGGGGCAGAGTGGTTTTCCCCATGAGCAGGCCGAAGTGCTGCTGGTGAGCAGCTTCGACTCAACAGAGGGCTGCTGTAGGTCAGGGCATTGTGTCTGTGTGCGTGCTGTGTGCACATGCAGATTCTCCTTTTTTCCCTTTCCCCAGCTTTTGGTCACTTCTGACCTAATGAAATCCTCCTTCCTTTATAGGTCCCCAGATGAGGCCTTGCCTGGAGGTCTTGGTTGCAGCGGTGGGAGCAGCCACTATGCCCTGGAGCGGGCAGCCCATGCCACATCGGACATCCCTGAAGCCTCCTGTGAGAAGGCAGAGAAGGAGGCCAAGCTGGCTGCTCAGAGGGCGGGTGAACAGGGAGAAACCATGAAACAGTTTGACCTGAACTATGGAAGTGAGTCTGTCTCCTCGCCTCTTCAGTGGGAAGAAGAGCCCAGGCCACCGAGGGCCATGGCAGCCTCTGTCAGGTTGCTGGGCTTCCCCCTTCTCTGAGCATCCTAGCCTCTGGGCCTGTGGTGGGCTAAGTGCTAGGGCTGCCTTGGTGAGCAGAACAGATAGGATTCCTGCCCTCACATTGCTCACAGCCTTGCCAACCCCCAGAGTACCCCGAGGTGTCCCAGTTCAAAGAGATTGGGAACTTGCTGCCCAGAGAGGCTGAGTGGTTTGTCCAGGTCATGCAACTGGTTAGGAGTAGAGCTGAGACGTCAGAGCTTCTGTCTCCAGAGACTATCTTCTTAACTGGAGTGCTCCTCAGGTCCCTGGTTTGGGATAACCGTGTGCTGAGGGGTAGTGGGGAGGGTGTAGAGATCCCAGCAGGATTTCCATAGACCCTGCAAACAATGCTCCTTAGAGGCATCAAGCCAGGTACTGTCCAGCCTTCTGAGCTGAACCATCCTTAGATATCAAGAGCTGATAGGGTTGCATTATCCTTTCTTCTGGTGAATGGAAACACTGTCTCTTCTTGTGAAATCTGGGTTCAGATTCCATCATTGAAAACTGCGGGTCCAGCCCTGGGGAGGAAAATGAGGTAGGCCCCATGGCGGGTGAAGGTTTCATCGAGGTCCTAACCAAGAAGCAGCGCCGTCTGCTGGAAGAAGAGAGGAGGAAGAAGGAGCAGGCTGTACAGGTAAGGGGTGGGGGGTGAAGGAGGGGAGGGTGGGCCTGCACCGAGACCCCCAGAGCCAGAGAGATGAGAGAGCTGTGAATTAAGCCCAAGATAGAAGAGGAGAAGGAGAGAGTGCTTACGTGGCATGTGTTGTGCCCCAGCACCCACCACCACTGCTGCCCTGTGGGAGTAGGTGCAGCATCCCTCTTCTCAAAGCTGGTGATTTGTCTCTGGTGACAACAGCTGAAATGTGTCTGAGCAGGATGCACACTGCTGTCAGCCCCTCCAAGCCCACCTTCCTCCCGCTGCTCTGGCCTATGTGGGATGAGATTTGTCACTCAGGGCGTCACGAGGGTCAGGGACAGACCCTGTACTCCAAGGCAGTCAGGGCCGGGCACTGTGCACTTGGCCCCTGGGGGTCTGTGTCCACCGGCCTGTCAGCCCTTTCTGGGATTGTTTTGTTGGCATTGCCATTTACCTGTGCTTGAGGTCTCAAGAGACCAGAGTCCCAGCACCTCCGGAGCAGTTTCTGATGGGGTGGTTTGGGGCCCCAGGGTCCCCTCTCTGGGAAGAACCTGTCATTCTTCATGCCTTATGTCTAGGCTGGACTCCATCACCATTTTTTCTGTTTAGGTGCCTGTCAAGGGGCGAAGTCTTTCCTCCCGTATTCCTCCTCGCTTTGCTAAAAAGCAAAACAACTTGTGCCTGGAGCAGAGTGATGTGACTGTGCCCGGAAGTAGCCTGGGCACTGAGATTTGGGAGAGCAGCAGCCAGGGTAAGAGTTGGGTGCTTAGGCTCAGCTCCTTGGCCCACAGCCATCCCCTGGGCCTGGGGTCTCTTGTTGGGGAGCATCCGGCTTTGGGCCTGCAAATGCACGTGGAGCTTTACCTGTCTCTTGCCTCCTCTCCAGGACCACACTGTTAAGAGGCCAGCTTAGCACCACTTGCTGCTATAGTCCCTGCACAGAAGGAAACTCTCCCTGCCTGAGACTGGGGGCAGGAGCACACCATTCCGTGTATCTTGTGGTCTGGACAAGGAGAGGCCCTGCCCCTGACCAGCCAGAGCTGCTGGGGGAGATGGCCCGACTCCTTTGTCCCTGTCAGTTATCTTTTCTTCTTACCTGTGGGAGAGCAACAGGTGACTGGTAGGGAGAAGAGAGAAGCTTTCCCATCTACACCGGCCCTGACCCCAGGGGCTCTTGTCATCTTCTCCTCAGGCTCTTGTAGCGAGCGAGATAGTGAAGGGATCTTACTTCTTAAAATACTTGTTTCCCTGAACTTTTAAAGACTTGCTTATTTATTTGACACAGAGAGAGCGAGCACAAGCAGGGGGAAGTGACACGCAGGGGGAGAGGGAAAGGCAGGCTCCCTGCCAGGCAAGGGAGCTGAATTGTGGGACTTGATCCCGGGACCTCAGGATCACGACCTAAACTGAAGGCAGACACTCAACTAACACAGCCACCAGGCACCCCTGTTTCCCTGAGTTTTTAAAATGAATTTCAAATCCAATGCTATGGTTCTGGTAATTCATTTTAAAATACAAAACTTTTTTAATCAAGCAGATTGTTCTTCACTGCCTACTTTGGGCAAAGCCCTGTGGAGGACACAGGTGAATAAAACAAGGATGCGTGATGCCTCCCAGGGGAGCTTTGAGAAATTATCCACTTCCAGGGTGTTACACAAAGTAGCCGAGGCTTCAGAGCTCAGTGACTTGACCCCAGAGCCACATGACAGAAAGCCACACTTCTGGGTTCTGAGTGTTGATTCTCTGAGTTTTACCACATGGCCTGTCACCTTCCTAGTGTTAAAACCTTGGTTCCAGCACATTGCAGAATAACATTGGAAGATATCCAACTCTGATTGGAAGTATAATGACGTCTAAGTAAAATATTGCCATCAGATGATTTGGTAGCACATGTGAGTGATGGTTATAACACTCTGAACATCCACAAATACCTGCCAGGTTGTTGCTCTGAGCAAACTAGACTCCAGCTGCCTCCACTCTCGGGCCTTTGCCACCAGGACTCCATAGCGCCTCATCAGCTGCTCAGACCAGGGGCCCCTGCACGGCTTCAGAGGGGCCCTGGATCTGAAAACAGCATGGCAAGTTTTGTGTACATAACATGGGGCCTGTGGCTTTGTGGGAATCTTGGCGTGGTCCCTGAGCTGACAGGAATTGAATAATACCTGCTTGAATCTTTGAAAGTCTTTGCGGGAGCTGCTGGCTTGTAGAAACGAATAGTTGGCTTAAATGAAAGCTTCACTTTGCAGGGGTAGCACTAGAGAATCTTCCCCAGTGTGAGTGAGAAGCTGCCGGCGTGCTTACTAGAGCATGTAGTCAACAAGGGAAATGAAGCACGTTTGTTAGAGTATGTCTGAGGATGCTAGGAAGTTGGGTAAGGCTAGCAGACAAGCTCCTCTGTGTCAGATCTGTTCTCCAGCATGCTGTGTACGGGACAGGGAGGGCAGGGAGCAGCCTGGGGGTGTGTCAGCCGCACCCGGGCTTGTTTCTCCAGCCAGGGGGTTCCTCTGTGATGCCCTGACTCTGTTTTCCTCCCTCGGGCAGCCCTCCCTGTTCAGCCTCCAGCCAACGACTCATGGACAAAAGCCGCCACTGCCTTCAATAGCACCGAGCCCGGCTCTGCTGAGGTGAGTGGCTGCTGTGCTGCTCGGGGCTGTGTGTTTGCTCACTGCCTCTGTGGCCAGGTCATCCTGGGCCTCGGGTACCTGCTGCCCAGCCAGCTTCCCTCACCAGAGCCTGTGAGGCTGGCCCAGGGACCTTTGCCACAGGTCCTGACTCCTGATCTGGGTGAGGTGCCTGTGTGAAGGGAAGAGCGGTGAATAACCCTGGACAGTGAGCAACCGGGGCCTCATCTGCAAGCCTGTGGTGGCTGTTGGTCTATCAGACCTGAGTCACAAGGGGATAAGTTTGACAGCCATGTCTCTGGTGTCCAGTGAATATCTTGTGGTTTCGATCACGTCTTCAGTTGTTGGGCACCATCGGCCGGTGAGGGCGAAAGTCTAAAAGGGACAGGCATGGGGGTGGCTATGCGACTCAGTCACGTGCTTGGTCTTGCTTCCTGGATGGTCCCATGTTGGAGTTTGGGGGTCAAGGTTCCTAAACTGTTTTGTGCTTGCACAGCAGGGTTTTAAGAGCAGCCAGGGGGACAGCGGCGTTGACCTGAGTGCTGAGTCTCGGGAGTCGTCTGCGACCTCCTCACAGCGCAGCTCCCCGTACGGCACTCTGAAGCCAGAGGACATGAACGGGCCTGGCCTGGAGCCCAAGGCCGACAGCCACAAGGAGCAAGCTCAGAAACAGCCTGAGCCGAAGGTAAGCTGGAAGTCCACTCATGGGCCTGAGCCAGGGCAGGAGGGGCTGTCGTCCTGTCTTCCCCTCTTCTGGGCTCAGAAGCTGGGGACTGGGGTCCTTCTGGTCTGTGTTTCTCAGTGTCTCTGCTTTTCCACCAAGGATTCAGAACAAGGCTCAGGACAGAGCAAGGAGCACAGACCAGGACCCATCGGCAATGAGCGTTCTCTGAAAAACAGAAAGGGCTCAGAGGGGGCTGAGCGGCTGCAGGGGGCTGTCGTCCCGCCTGTTAACGGGGTTGAGATTCACGTGGACTCTGTGCTGCCGGTGCCGCCCATTGAATTTGGAGTCAATCCAAAAGTGAGGCTTGGATTATTTCCTTCCCTCCACCCCCCCACCTTTTTTTTTTTTTTTTTTTTAAGTACTTGGAGAGGAAGGGGTGGGTGCTGAGACAGGCTTGTCACCCAAGAAACAGCAGGGAGATGGGAGCCAAACAGTACTCTGGGGGAGCATGTTGGCGTGCTGGACGAAGCAGGTGTTATTTAGCTGCCTTCTAGATGGTTCTACTGACAGCAGCTAGGTTCTCAGGCTGAGCAGACTGGTTACCTTCAGTGTCTCCCATCAGGTTGGTCAGTGGGCATAGGCAGGGAGCACAGAGGGAGTCAGAGGGTGGCATCTTGTTTTGGGTACCATCTGGTGATTGCTGTTCAGTCAGTTTTTTGAGTCATGGAGACTGTGGCTCAAATTAACGTGTGTCTCTGCCGAAAGGTGGGCTGGATGATCTCAGTGGGCTCTTCCTCCTCTCCAGGACTCCGATTTCAGCTTGCCACCTGGTTCTGCCTCTGGTCCAGCGGGAAATCCGGTTGTCAAACTTCAGGATGCCTTGGCCAGTAATGTGAGTGTGTTTCCACCCCAAGCTCTGTTGTTCTTTACTCTGGCAGGCCCTAGAAAGAACAGAGGAAACCTCCCAGGGGGGCTCTGAAGCCAGAGGAGGGGACCAACTGCCTGACCTGAGTATGAGGCATGACACGTTTTTCTAGCTGGTTGCATGCCTTTGGGCAAGTTGTGTAAATGTCCCACATCCTGGTGTTGTGATCTTAAAATGGGAGAACATAATTCCTGAGGTCTGGCTTATTTGGCATTCTGTGATCCTCTGATCTTCCAAGGTCTGTGGTTACGTATGTTTGATAGTGCCTGGGACAGATGTCTTCATCCTGAGCAATTGCTCAGGATCCTTATAATACATCCATGGGCACTGGGCGTGTGTGGGAGGGTCTACTGGCCACATTCCCGAAGAAATGTTCCCAAGGGCCTCTTTTTTCAGTTTTTGGGTAGGGCAGCTGAGACAGGACCTGGGGATCTCCAGGTGAGGTCCTGCTGCCTCTGTGCTGATAGCTGATCACAGTTCTTCTGCTGGCGCGGCTGCCCCTGCTGAAGTGGAGTGCTCCATGGGTGGGGGTGTGGGGCTCGCTCTCTGTGGGCTCCCATGGAGGGAGTCTGTGAAGGCAGCTGTCTGGAGGAGACACACACGATCTCTGTGCCTCTGTGGCTGGCAGCTTCATCCCCGGTGTGTCGAGTGCATGTGGCCCAAGCTGAAGGTATATTTTGGTGTGCTGTCATGTTGCATCTGTGCCTAGTCCACAATTTCTTGTCTCCTTCCAGGCGGGGTTAACACAGAGTATTCCCATCCTCCGGCGCGACCATCACATCCAGAGGGCCATTGGCCTCTCCCAGATGTCCTTCCCCACCGCCGACCTCACCCTGAAGGTATCACCAGCACAGAGCCGGAGGAGTGGGGGGGGGGGGGTTGTCCCACCTTGGTGCCCTAGCTTGCACAGAAGCAGGAAGCACCACCCCCCTGCTGTACTAGCCTCTGCTGCCCTGGTGGTAATTTTTCCACTCCCCTGGCTTCTCAGATGGAGTCTGCACGCAAGGCTTGGGAAAATTCGCCCAGTTTGCCAGAGCAGAGCTCTCCTGGAGGCGGGGGCTCAGGCATCCAGCCCCCGTCGTCTGTGGGAGCCTCCACCGGGGTGAACTATAGCTCCTTCGGGGGAGTTTCCATGCCGCCCATGCCTGTGGCCTCGGTCGCGCCTTCTGCTTCTCTCCCAGGTATATGCCACCCCTGGCCTGAACCAGCTCTGGGGGATCACTCACCTCCCTTCTCTCTCTCTCTCTCTCTCTCTCTCTCTCTCTCTCTCTCAACTTGGATTGCTTGACTTAAGGAGTTGCAGAAGAAGGAACTTGTTTCTGGGTTGAATGGTCATAGCTTCTCAGGTGCTGCAGATAACTTGCCCCTCCTTCTTTTTTTTCTGCTCCCCTGCCCTGGGAAGCAGACCAGGAGCAAGCAGAGATGGGGCTTTGAGTCAGAGCCAGGTCACATGCAGTGGCTATGTCATCTCTGCCAGTGAGTGGCTTAGCCCTCTGCTGTGGTCCCTTCTCCATGAGAGAAGACTGGCTCTCCATGGGTTAGCTGATGAGATGAGGTCATACCGGGAAAGGGCTTTGTACCAGCCAGGCCCTCAGTAAGTGGTAGCCATTTTTACCACCATGTTGGTGCCCAGAGGGAAAGGTGAGGGTTTGAGGGCCCAGCTACAGAGTCTCAGGAAACTGTTCTGATCCTCCACTGTGTACTCAGCGCAGCGGGACAGAGAACCCGGGGGCTGCAGTGGAGCCACTCCCGAAGGTGTGGGCTGGTGGGCCAGGGGTTGGGTAGGAAGGGTAGGCTGGAGCCTGCCCCTGCTCTGGGGCCCTGAAGCTGCTGTCAGTGGGTGAGTCGGTGTGGGGCTGCTAGAGTAAGGGGCCACCAGCAGGGAGCTGAGCAGGCTCTGCACACACTCCCTCCCAATTCCCCGGAAAAGCATGCATGTGCAAACATTTGGGAACAGTGAGACTTGATCCTATTCTGTCTTCTGGAATTCTGTTTGCAGGCAACCACCTGCCGCCTCTGTACCTGGATGGCCATGTGTTTGCAAGTCAGCCCCGGCTGGTTCCTCAAACGATACCTCAGCAGCAGAGTTACCAGCAGGTGATGATTGCAAGCCAGGCGGGCCTGGGCAGGGTGTGGTGGGGCGGGGGTGCAACGCACAGTGGAGTTAATTCCTTCATTGATTTGTTCATTGTCTGGCTTCCTGTGTCCCTCACGTGTAATGCCCAGCTCCCAGCCTGTCCTAGCAGCCAGGAAACATTCAGTGAATGAACACAGGAGAGACAGGGAAGAGGAGGGGAGCTCAGTGCTCCAGACTCTCTGTCTCCCTCTCTCAGAGCTCTTCCTGTGTCCTAGCTGGGGAATTAGCTGAAACGGAATTCTCTTTGGTATCCTTTGGTATCAGGTATCCTTCTGATGAAGAGAAGAAAAGCCTAGACTCCCAGGCATGGATGCATTAGAAAGAGGTAGTTTTAGAAATGTGCAGGTGTTTGTTTTCATGCAGGATGGGCGTATTTTCTGTGCTGCAAGGGGCGGATTTCTGAAGTCTCCCTCCTGAAGCTGGAGTGGAGCCTTCTGATGGTCCAGCAGCCCACAGAACTGTGTGCCAGGACGGTGGGGCCCTTGGGCAGAAGCAGATTTGGGGACAGAGGACTTGGCCTGTCCCAACCTTTTTATGAAACATATTCTTAATTATTACATCATTTAGATTTACCAGATTTTGATCTTCACGTGACTGGATTGTACCGCATGTATTCTTCATGTAGGAGTCCTGTTTACCATTGACATGCCTCTGTTGATAACCGTAGCTAGAATTCATTCTTGCTATTGTACAGAATCCAGGATAGGAACGTGCCAGGGTTTGGAATTGTTACCCAATTGTTTGCTTTTTCCCAAGAGCAAGGAAAGCACCAGAAGGACATGCCCCAGTTTGCATTTGGGGCAGTGTTTGCACTGCCGCTGGACAGGGGTGGGGCGGGGTGGGGAGCAGCTCAGAGGGCCCCCAAGGTCACCTGCCCAGTTACCTGCCTGGCTTCCCTCCGCAGGCTGCCGCTGCCCAGCAGATCCCTCTTTCCCTTCACACATCTCTGCAGGCTCCAGCCCAGCTGGGACTGAGGGGCGGGCTTCCCGCCTCCCAGGCTCAGGAGATCTTCAGCTCCTTACAGCCCTTCAGGTGAGATGCAGCCAGGGACACAAGCTTCCACCTCTATGGCCTGTGAGCTGCCGTTCCTCGCCTCTGCTTTGGGGCGGTTGGTGGGGGGAGGTGGTGATCATGGTCACTTCAGAGTCATTAATGATTCTTGCAGGAGCTGCGTGGGCTTGATGATGGTCCTCCATGGGCCTTGTGTTTTTTTTTCCCACGTCGTCCTACCCCTTCACAGCCCCTCTCCATCTTCCCGTCCTCCTGCCTGCCTCCACCACCTGCCTCCACCCATGGTCTGCTCTTCCCATGTGTCTGAAGTCCCATGCCTTTAGCATCACATAGGTTTTCCTGTGCCTTGTACAGCCTGGATGTGTCATCTAGTGATGCTCAAACTGTGGCCCCTGGACCAGCAGCATCCACACCATCTAGGTCCATGTTACAAATGCAGATTCTCAGGCTCTGTCCAGACCTTCTGAGTCAGAAGCTGGGCAGGGGGGCGGCTAGCAGTGTGGATTTTAGCAAGCTCTCTGGGGGATCGTGCTGCGTGCTTCTATCTGAGACCCACTGGTGTGCTCCTACATCTGACCCACCATCTGTCTGGCTTTTGCAGATCTCAGGTGTACATGCATCCCAGCCTGTCACCACCCAGCACCATGATCCTCTCTGGAGGCACAGCCTTGAAGCCTCCATACTCGGCGTTCCCAGGCATGCAGCCCTTGGAGATGGTGAAGCCCCAGTCCGGCTCCCCCTACCAGCCCATGAGTGGAAACCAAGCCCTGGTCTACGAGGGCCAGCTGGGTCAGGCTGCGGGCCTAGGCGCCTCCCAGTTGTTGGACTCCCAGCTCCCACAGGTCAGGAATTCCATCTCCTCTGCCCAGCACACTAGGGCCTCTTTCTCTTGTGACTGTTTTTCCTTTTTATCTGTCTCTTGATTTTGCTGACTTATGTGCAGCTTGTAACCATTGTGATTGGTCCTTGGGCTGCTAGAACTGGGGCTAGGTCCTCTGCCACTCTGGAACGTTCCTGTCCTATTTATCCCCTGAGAGCACTGCTCCTCCCACAGCCTCTCTCCCGCCCTCATCCTGGGGGGCTTGGAGATGGGGTGCATGTTCTCCTGGCATACTGATGCTTCTGGACAGCTCTCCCTCTGTTCTCCCCAGAACCCCCAGCCCTGGAGCCCATACTGTCGACTGCTCCACTGGCCTCCATGTTACTGTGAGTCCATATTATGAATCCAGCGTTTGGCTTCATGTCTTCCTCTCCTGTGACCGTCAGTAGTATTGGACAACTTTGAGGGTCGCTCCTGGCTCAGTCTCTCCAGCATAGCTCCTGTTGTAACTGCTGGTGGTTTTGGTGTGTGTAGATGATAGCCTGGTCTCTGTTCCTTGGCCCCTTGCCACCAGGGCTCCGCTGTGCTTATGGTCCTGTCGGGACTTGTCAATGCCAGAAACTGTACCTTTTCCACCATCTCAAGTTTAAGGGTTTTACTCATGCCCACCCCTGCTCTGCTAGCTCTCCCCACTAGCGACGCAGCTCTGGCCACCTGATCACCTTCCCCTGTGGGCTCACTTCTTCCCTGCCAGCTTATTGGTGCCGCCCATTGCATTTGTCCTTGTCTCTGCTCCAGTGCTCTCACTTAGGTCCAGGCCTGTGTCTGCACAGCTGTCTGTGCCTACAGAAAACCAGACCTGCTTGGGCTACCTGGCTATCGCCAGGCCCCGACAGCCACCCTCGGGAGTCTCCATGCCCCTGTACTCGGGCCCCATCAATCCCCAGCCTCCAGTGCCCGTCTCAGACTTGCAACTTTCTCCTGACCACCCTCTACCGCTACCCTGTCACTAGAGAAATAGAAGCAGTGATGAAACAAGAGATCTTGTACAAAGCACCGCCTGAGGGCTTTCCTGCCACAGGGGTGGGCTGGCGGAGCTTGGGGAAGGCCCTTCCAGCCAGGCTCCAGCTCCTTCCTATGTACATCACGTGTGCTGTGGGCACAACGAAGGGCCGTACCCAGCCAACTCTATTATTCCCCTTATTAAAAACACAAAACCATAAAAATTTTTTAAGGACACCAGTCAATTCCTGATGGTTATTCTTTACCCTCATCTTGCTTACCCATCCGCAGCATTTGACTCAGGGATGCTCCTGACACCTGGAGTCATGTTCTTCACTCTGTTCATAGGCGCTGCCATCCTGGCAACCCCCTCTTCCTCACCTGCATGGTCTGTGATTTCTTGGTGCCCCCTAGGCTCTGCCCTCCAACCTCTGTCTAGTCCTATGGCTCAAAGTCCCATCAAGGGACTTAGGTCTTCCCAGTCCCACCAGGTATTTATTTTCTCACCTGTGGGCTACCCGTCTCCTCTGCTCTGGTGTCTTAGGGCATATCAAACATAATGTGTGAAGGCATCAAGTCCAAAACCTGATTTTTCTCCTGGTCCTTCTGGCTGTCTTATCTATGTCACTGTAGGTCCCCATGTCCCCTCACATCCCCTCTGATCCTTCAGCAAGTGCCATTGGCTCTATCTTTGGAAGGTGTACAGAATCTAGCCACTTCTCATTCCCTCCACACCCCACCCTGTCCAGGCTCCTGTGGGGGCTCCTCCCAGATCTCCTGGCTCTACTCTTGGGCCCAATGATCTGTTCTCAACATAGCAGCTGAGGTTCCCCCTAAAACACAATTTTGGCCATACCACATGGGGAGCCAGTGCTCCAGAAGTGTAGAACCATCCTCCTCTTCGTCCCACACTCTTGTGTGCAAGGAGGAGCGTGGGGTCTTGAGGCTCTGGCTGCCACTTGTCTCCGTGATGTAATTCCAATAGATCCTTCTGACCCCCCCGTGGACTCAAAGCAGGGGGATGAAGAGGAAAGTGACTGAGAGACAAGTGGCGTCCCTGCCTCAGTCCTGAGGCACCCCCCTGTCCTTGTCACCCACCTGGTGCTGGACTTGAGAAGCAGTCCCTTAGAGCTTGCTATCACCATTCCCTTCTCCCCCATGTTCTGTTATTATAATAGTCTTCAGAAGGATCCAAGAGTCTCCAGTTCCAGGAACCCTTTACCCCAGAACTCAGTTGAGTTTTCCATACCCTTTAGAGGCAAAACAATAACGGGGTTTTCCCTTTTTTGCCTTGCAAAGCAGTATGTAGATAGAAATCCATCCAGTGTTCGTGTTTGGGGACTTGCTTGGACATTACCTCCTAAGAAGCCTCCTGACCTTCCCTAACTCTTTCCCGCCCAACTCCCCCAACGCATAAGGGGCTTGTTGCCCGCACTCCCCATGTTGGGTCTGTGTCCAGTATGACGCTCTGTCCTCCCTGCTCCCTGGGTCTGACAGTGTCCTGGTGCTTCCCTTGGGTGCATACAGCCCTCTGCAGCCCTGGAGAGGAGCCACTCCTGTCCCCTGTGAGCATATTACAGTGTAGCACCTGCTGGCTCGGCCCTGAGCTTGTCTTCTCCACCTGCTGGTTCCAGCAATCAGACTTGCCCTACTTCTGAGGGTATTCCCTAGCAGAAATCTAGACCCTATATTGCTGTGCAGAGGCCACGCTTTAATTCTCTTAAAATGACAACCTGCAGTATAATGTGTGTCCTCTCCTGGGGACACATGTAAACAGTAGTTCGTGGCTTTCTCATCAACATCCATTCCTCCTCTTGACTGTCCCTGTCGCCCAGCAGCTGACGATGCCGCTGCCTGGCTCCCAGCTGCCTCTGCCGCGGTACGGCTCCGGGCAGCAGCCTCTGATTCTACCACAGTCCATCCAGCTGCCACAGGGGCAGAGCCTCTCTGTCGGGGCCCCCCGAAGAATCCTTCCACCCGGCTCCCAGCCTTCGGTCCTTAACACCAGCAGAGAGGTAAGGAGGACTCTCGTGCCTGGGAGAAACCTTGCTAGCTAAGTCAGGAAGTGCTATTGGGGCAGAAAATTCCAGAGGTTGGGCTGCAAGCTAGCTCTTGGCCTCACCAGACCACTGGTTTCCTGCTCGTGGTGAAGTCTTCTAGGAACCCCATGGCACAACAACCTCTCCCCACCTTGGTTCAAGCTAGCAACATGAGCCGACACCCAGAGGAGAAGGGAAGGTGTGTGTCGTGGTGATGTCTGGAGCCTCTTGGCTAGGGGAGCTGTGGGGTCGTTTCAGAGACCGTCCCAGACATCCCCATGGAGTGTGTCTAGGGCTGGGGTCCAGGCTCTGCATTCCTCCCCGGCTTCAGGGGCTCTGCTGATGGCCATCCTGGTGGTGGTGCACAGTCCTCTCTCCCCACCCCACTTCGAGAGAACAAAAACAGGATGGTCCTTGGTTCCAAGAAGCCTCTCAAGCCTAGATTGGAGGGGGAGGGGGAGGGGTTGTGCAGTTTGCTTTAGGTGATCCCTTTCCCCGCTGGAAATTCTCAGTGTCTCTGCACGAGGGTGGTTCAGTGAGGGCCAGGCAGCACAGGGCCATCAAATGACCACTCATCATACCTTTGTGGTGTCTCCAGTCCTCTCAGATGGAGATGAAGGGCTTCCACTTTGCCGACAGTAAACAGAATGTTCCTTCAGGAGGCTCTGTGCCATCACCCCAGACTTACAGGTAAAGAAATGCCCTGGGTGGGGGTCGGATGCTGCATCACCCAAGTACTTGGTCTAGATGGGACTCCATGGTTCAGAAGAGTCTTGGGGGCGAGGGAGAGCCATGGGAGGGCACTGTGGCAGGGTTCCCTTTGAGGCCACTTTGAAATTTCAATACTGGGACACTTTCATGTTTTAGTGAACCAAGTGAACCATGTTTTAGTGAACTAGCAGAGTGATTCTGCTTTTAGTCATCATAATAAAATGTCCTGGTATGGGAGAGCTTTCTGGAAAGGTAGTAAGCTGATGTTTTAATAGTGTGAGGCCTGACCTGACTGCTCACGGCTTTCCCACCAGATTTTACAAAGGATTTGCTGACCAGGAAGGTGTACTCCCTGGAAGGCGAGGAGAATTTCCTTTCCTGGGGCTGCAGGCCCCCTGCACTGGCCCTCTGGCCCCATGAGGGCCTGTGGCTGCTGGCCTTGGTGGGGCCATGTGGACTGGCCACTTCTCTTTGCGTCCTTGGTCTCGGTCTCTGCCTCTGCCTCTCCAGTAACTAACTGTCCCAGGTCCCTTAGCTGGATTGGGAGGTGGCTTTGCATGAATCCCGGTGTGGAATTACTTATTATACTAGAAAGTTAAAGAACCTCTGGCCTTACCTATTTGCCCCTGAGGAAGAGTGGCAGGGACGGGGAGGCAGCATGCTCTGGCCCGGGGCCCATGGGCAGGTGCGGTTGGCTCTTGTTACACGTGGGAGATGCTTGGAGCATCCTCCTGTTTGTAAGCGAGCAAAGCAGACGTGTGACTCATGGCGCTCTGTGAGAGGTGAGCGGCCCGGCTCCAGGGTGCCCCGAGAACCCTCTAGGGGCGTATAGCTGCTCTCCGAGTGGGGAGCACGTCTGCAGATCAGAGCACCATCTCCGGTCTTGCAGCTGTGGCCACTCTGCCCCGCTGCTCTTGAAGTGTTGAGGCTGGGTCCTCATCTGTCCCATCCACCCCGTCCTTCCCATCATTCCATGCTTCCACCTGCATTTCCAGAGGCATTTGTGTGACGTTTCCCCCTTTCCATCATCTTTTCTATTACTTTACCCTTTGGCTTCATTTATTTTTGTTTATTTGTTTTGTGTTGTGACCATATTTTTCACATAGGCCAAAATAACAGAACTGTATGAAAGATAAAGACAGCAACACAGAATGACGACTGTAGTCTGGAATAAGGAAGGAAGCTCTGTGGATAAACAAATGCTGTCAACCCCCTGTCGCCATGGGTGACATTGAGCTGCATTTGGTCCCAGAGGCAAACCCAGAGCACAGATGCTCACACAGCAAAAGTTGCCCATGTCTGTTCAGGGTTGGGACACAGCAGTGGCCTCTTTGAAGAACGCGTAGAACATAGAAGCCTTCACGAATAGCCTCTGTTTTGTTGGGGTTGTAGTGGGGGGAAAATTGGTGTATTTTTATAGAGCAGTGTTTCCCAGGTTTTCTGGAAACAGGGCTTCTGAGGTGTGCCCTGCCAAAAAAGGGTTCCCTGGTCAGATACTTAGGGGTGTGCTCGTTGGGATCGTCTTGCTCGGCACAGGGTCTGAGCTCCCCCACTGTCCAGCGTCCCGATGAACTCCCGCACACAGCACTTCTCAAGCTTTTGACCACAGAATCTTTCTTCCACATAGCACCTAGGCAACATCCAGGAGAGCTGGTTGTCTGGTCAACGGATACATTCAGAAAGATGTTCTGAAAGATTTTTGTTCCTTTTGGTTTCTCTTTCCACTCACCCTCCCACACCCACTGTCTAAAAAGTGAAAACTCTAGGAATAAACTTGGCACCATTCTGAAATCAGCTTCGTAGACCATTTGTCTGGGTCACAGAGTCCCATCGGTCCAGACCCTCCAGACCCTCCAGGCCCAGAGAGACGGGTAGTGCCCATTCACTCGTCCGGTCAGTATCTACCCACAGCCGGGGCTTCGGCCCCTGTGCCCTTGGGTCTCTGCGAGCTGCTCTGGTGCCCCCTGCACCCTGGCTGTCTGAAGTCTTGGCTTTCCTCCGCTGGAGAGGGCGCCGCCCAAGCCAGGGCCACGCCGTGTGCTAGGCTTGACTCGTTTTCTCTGGCGACGCATGTGTTCTCACCCCCTGCCTTTGGTTTTTTCAGGCCTAGCTCTGCTAGCCCCAGTGGGAAGCCCTCTGGATCAGCAGTTAACATGGGCTCTGTGCAGGGACACTACGTTCAACAGGTAGAAGATGGCTTTCCAGACCCTCCAGCCCTGGACGCTTAGGCCCGTCTCCAAGCGCCAAAAGAGAAGGGACTGTCCAACCCGTTTGAGTGCTCCTCTTATAAAGAGAGACATGCCCTAGCGCTTAGAGCGTGGCGCCGGGAGCCGGCAGCCTGAGTCCCTCCTGGCCAAGGCATTTCTCCTCTTGACGGGCGTCTGGATCCTTCCTTGTCCTGCAGAGAAGGAAGGATGCGGATTCCTCTAAGGAGGTGGCGCCAGAAGGTGGACTCTGCCTCCCTAGCGATTTGGGCTGTGAAGGCGCTGGGACTCGGTTAGGTCTGTGGGTCAGCTGTAGAAGCCGCGTGTGTGTGCGTGCGCGTGTGTGCGTGCATGCACGTGCTAGCTCTAGTAAGTGCTGTGTCTCGTCTCTGTCTCGGCTGGGTGGGAGTACATGTGGAATGACGCTTTCCCATTTTGCAGCAAAAGGGGCTTCTCAGTGTCTCTGCCTTCAGGCACTATTCTCGGCTGCCACTCTGTAAAACGTGATGGGGCTCCAGAGCTCACACATGTCAGGCGTGGCTTTTTAATAAAACCGCATTCCTGGCTGGTGGAGGCGGAAGTTTGATCACTCATTACACTCCTCCTAACTTGGTTCCCTGGAGGGTCATTCCCTGAATTGCTTGGACCGAGCTGCTAAAGCTTCCTTGCAGAGTTCACACACTGGTCAGGGGCATAGTTGAGCCCAGCCACTCTGTGACACATCCCCTGTGCAGAGCTGCAGGTTAATGGGACCCTGACTGAGGATCTCAAGGCCAAACTTGGGTCCTGGGGAAAGGTTTCTGGAGAGTGGGAGTCAGAAGGGAGTGGGGGTTAAAGATGAGGGATGGACCAAGCCCAGCCAGTGGTCCTGTGCCCCTCGGCAAACATTCAGGAGTTCTGACTTGTGGGGTGTTGGGGCTGCTCCAGGGCTTTTTCCCCTTGGGCCAAGGGGTGCACGGATTTGAGAAGGTCCTTCTGGTCAGCCTTGGACGTGCTGCTCCTGCAGAAACCTGTGGGCATCACAGAATGCTTCCCAGAGGACCCGGCATCTTCCTGCCTCTCTGAACCACTGCCCTCAGCACCCATGGGAGGGGAGAGAGCAGCTCACGCCAGTGTCCTTCCTAGAGGAGGGAGTTCTTTGGTTTGCTCCTTCCACCAAAGGATGGGCTTCTTAGGGTAGCTTTTCTCTGTGACTCATGAGCAGGTGGGGGTGGTGAGAGCTGTGTGTCCAGATGGACATTTCAGCATAAGGGTAACTGTCCCCATTCATCTGTCCAAAGGCCAAACAACGAGTGGATGAAAAAGCCAGCCTGGGAGCCGTGAAGCTGCAGGAAGCCCCCTCCGCCACCTCCCAGATGAAGCGAACCGGAGCAATCAAGCCTCGGGCGGTCAAGGTGGAAGAGAGCAAGGCCTGAAGGTGCTGGGCCACACCTCGCCCCCCTGAGCGCAGGGCTGCCGCTCGGCCCTGACCTCTGACGCAGCCAGACACGCGGACATCTTGGAGATCCACCGTCCAACCACCGGCCCGGACTGAGAGACCTTCCTTCCCTTGTCCACTCCTGAAAGCTCCATTGTCCGACCAGCTTGCCCCCGTGGATATGTGGCATTGACCTGCTCGCTTTCATATGAAGCAAACAAGCAAGCAAACTGACCCTGTCCCCACGTTGTCCCCGCCTCCTTTCCACCGTGACCGTGACCGTGGAGTGACTCAAGCCTTTGTGCAGGCCAGAAAACCCCGCCCCACCCACCCCACCGCCAGGGTGCTTTCTGCACCCCCCTCCCCCGCCTCCTCCCCTCCCCTCCCTCCCCCCTCCCGGCCCCAGGCACAGTGGTTTGGCAGCAGGGCCCATTTTAGTTTGAGGCTTTTTGTTTTAAAAAGCAGCTAAAGTTTTTACAAAGGAGAAAGGAAAAGAAAACAAAAACCGAAGCTATGTGTGCATAGCTGAACTTTCATACTTCTTTGCCACCCCCTCCCTCTGTCCCAGGACCACATTTCCACCTGTCCCCTGCCTGGTCCACTGGTCTGTCACTGCGATTCCTGAACAGGACTCTAAGGCAGGTGTCCCCGTCCCCGTGTCCCCCCCCCACCCCACCCCCACCCCCCCGTACGCTCTTAGTGAGTCAGCCGGTGCGGGTGCTCGCAGGAAACGTGGAGGGCTTGCCAGTGGGCAGCTCCTTGCTCGGGAGAGTGACTGAGAGGGAAGTTAGGTCAGTGTCACGGTGGGTTCCAGTCCCTGGCCTGATAACCTCTGGAGTTTAGGGGCAGCCCAGTGAAGCTGGTGGCGTTTTTAGCGTAAGAATGACACACAATTTCTGTCCTGGACTCTTCTAACGCCAGTGGACATGCTGACCACGGGGCACCTAAGGTGAATCGTGGAGATACAGAATCACTGGTGTTTGCCAGTGCGGCCTGGACGGTGCGAGCTGACCGCCTCCGTGTCGGGGGCTCTGACACCCAGGGGGCTCTGACACCCAGGGGGCTGCTGTGTGACCCGCACGCCCTTCCTTGAAGCCTTCTGTGACATACCCTCCTCTTTTCTTCCTGAGGCTGTCTCCTTCTTGTCTGGATTCCTCTGTCCTGCCACCTTTCATGCAGCTCGTCCCTGGAACCTGTGAGGCCCCTTCCCTTGGGGACAGGGCCGCGAGGACGTCTGTCTGCTGGGGTCTGTAGCCGAGGTGTGTGGCCTGGAAGGCTGCCACCAGGGCTTCCTTTTTCTCCTTTTCTTCGCTCCCACTGGCAGACCCAGGTGGTTGGGACAGAGAGGCCTGAGCTGGGCGCTGGGTGCCCATCTTCCCAGACGGCTGGGGTGAGGTCTGCAGGGGGCGGGGGTCGCAGGTCTGACCGTCGTTCTGCAGTGGCCGCTAGCAAAATGTTTGTGTGAGCCATTTGATACTGGGTTTTTGTTGTTTATTTTTAAAATAAGACCCAGAAAGAAATCATCCCTGATGTTGTCATTCCAAGGATAGGGGAAGGGAAACCTGCAGGGAGTGTACATGCTCTTCAGAGTAACTAACCAGCCAGCCAGTCCTTAAACTAGGTGCTGCCTGCCACCAGCGATGGCTCCAAGGAGGACCAGGCTCAGAGGACAAGCAGTAGGTGAGTGGGGAGGAGCCCTGCACAGGTCCAGCCTCAGGGCCCCTACAGGGGTGTGACGTCCTGTGGTTTTGAGCTCTGTGTCTAGCGTACAAGCTGGGTGGAGAGAAGCGCCTTAGGGACGGTGTGGCACCCATAACCTTCTGTCGTTCTTCCCTGCTTGAAGGAAACGGGCACACCCTGCCAGCCAGAGTGCCAACGTCTGTGGGGAGGGTGGGGTGTCATCCGGAGAGGCCCAGTTTTCTTGAAAGTTGCTCTAGTGCTTCATCTGCAGCTTTCTGTGTCCCTTTTCCTACCTCCACCCTCAGACCTTGCTTCTTACTATAGCTGGTCATCTTCAGGCCTGAAGCTTTATTCTGAGGTCCTTTCACCAAGGGCTGCTCCCTTGAGTTGCCTGCGCTCACCTGCCCTGTGTGCTCATCTGCTCTTTCTCTCCCCTGCAAGTGTGTGACTGCTGTCCCTGTGACCACCTGCCCTGCCTGGCGCTCCCCTCTGCTGCCACCTGCCTCTTTTGCCCGGCTCCCTCTACGGGAGCCACACACATTCACCACCGCCTGTATGTTCATAAACATGGCCGGGCTCACACACCTAATTTTGGTGCACATTGTACATCAAAAAGGAACAGAGGTTTTCTCATTTTGGAATTCAACAGAACAGCCCAGGATGCTGTGACAAACTCAAGGTGTACCCTTCAGGTGAACCAGCCGTCAGCGTGTCAGTACTTCCTGTTTTGAGAAAAAATAAAAACAAAAGGTCACCTGTTCGCCAGCCCTTTTGTCCACCCCTGTATTTTCTCCTCCCCCTCCCCAATAAAAACAAAAAACACTAGAATTTATTTATATGTATTGATGTTGTAGGTCTAGGTGAAAAAAGTAAATGTTTCACTGCTCTATTTATATATAATGTCTGAATTATTCTGTGCAGGAAAGGCCAGGAAATTGCATGTGAAGTTCAGTGCATTTACCACCTCTGTGTGCCCGAGCTGCAGTGTCTTTCCCACTAAGATACAGGTTTTAAATTGGGCTTAGGGCAGAGGGCCTGTCCAACCCCCCCACCCCCCCACCCCCCGTCCCTTCCTCCGTCTGATGAAATGCAGTTTGTAGTGCAGAGAGGTTTTAAGGTGCAATATCTCTTCTTTTCATGTGGTTTTAGAACCAAGCTCAAGGTAATAGAGCTTAGGGTCTTGTGGTTTCAAACCCCCATCCTCAGAGCACACCTCCCTGCAGAGGCCTCTGCCAAGATGCCACAGGGCCGTTGGTGGGAGCAGGTAAAGATGACATTTACCTTTCTGCTGTTGATGAGACTAGTGGCAGGGGGAGGTGGGTAGTGTCAGAGCCCCCTTGCTGTCCCTTTGTCTCCCTCCTGATGCTGGCAGTTTGGCCCTGGCCATTGGTGGTACAGCCCGTTGCGCAGCAACCAGTAACCCTGCAGTAGTGTCTGTCCAGTGTCACCTACTCATTGGGGTGAAAATCCCAGAGTGGGGTCGAGTACACCCCCTGGAAACTTCTCTGCCAGTTATATTTGGTCTGGTTTTCTTTACTGTTGCTTCCCCCTTTTTAATCCACATTATTACTGTTTTCAAACTCAGAATTCATTCACTTCTGGCTCTGGGTTCCTTATGAGGGAAGACAGAGGATGACTTACACATTCAGAAATCAGTTGATTGAGTTCCAAAGCTGTGGCCATGCCAGCCACTTCTAGGGAATATTGGGGAATCTTGTTAAATATTGACTTTGGGTCTCTCCAGCTATGCCCTCACCCTCCTGTCTTCTGGATCTGCCCTTGGGATGGGTGATGAGGTTTGTGACTGGTGCTCAGGGCCCAGGAGGCTGAGGGTGTGCACACAGGTGCATGGCCGTGTTCAGAAATGGCCTGCTGAGACAATGTGGCCACCTGGTAAAGCCCCTCCCTGCTGTTCGGTTCCCCTCCACCAAGTAGCTGCATGTTGCCTCCCAAACCTGTATTTGTCCCTTTTCACTTCTTGCAGAGCAAGCCTGGGTCTGTTGGAAATGGCCTTTGACAACCGAGGACACTAGAGTGTTTGTGTTTTGTCATGTTCTGTGCTGAATGGGAAATGCAGACTTCCAGAAAGCCAGCCCTTCCTGCTTGAAAATGTGAGATGGATCTAAGAGATCACCTGGGACAGGGTGTCTCAGTGTTGGGGTCAGACACTGTCCCCCAGCCATGCCCTCTGGGGACCACCAGTGCATACTGGGCTAGTGATCTTCCAGGTGCATCTCACCTTGCTGTTCACCATTTCCCACCTTGGCTGGGTGGCAGTGTCCTTGGGACCCTGTCTTCAGCATGCTACGAAGCCTCAGGGTGGAAATTTCTATAAAGGTTCCGTGGATGACTTTCTTCCATTGTTTAAAGGGGATACTGTAAGCTTTTGACCTCATGCCTTGCATAGTAAAAAGGGTTTGGGTTTTTTGTTGTTCTTGAGGGTTTTTTTTTGTTTTGTTTTTGTTCCCTTTTGTTTTTATTTTGGCCTTTCCTCTTTGTCTTTTCACGTAGACCAGATATTTGAAAGGGCAGACGATGGCTAAAGGTGTAAAGTGTAGCTTGTTTATATATTTTTGGGGAAGCTTTTGCCTTGGATGGGAAATGGAATCATGGATTCAGCAGGCCATGGTGGCACACTCACCCTTTGCCCTTCCCTCCGGATCAGTACCTATTGTTTCTCCTTTCAAATATGTGATTGTATTAGCTCTTTCCATATGAAAGAATTCTCCTTATTTAAATAAAAAAAATGAAAAAAAAAACGCCCTAGAGCTGAACATGCTTTCTCAGGCTGTGTGTCCCTCGATTTTCTGTTGTCATTTGATGAGAGAGATGGAGAGATGGAAGAGTTCTTATGTTCGGACAGCTTATGTGGAAATTGGGAGTGACGGCCGAATTGGTTTAAAGCAAGGTGGGGAGGAGAGAAAGGATTGAAACCCACAGATAGGGTGCATCTTCCAAATGGATGAGCATTAGCAAGGCCCCTCCTTCCCTCCCAGTGGGTGATACTAAGGTGTGCAGGACATCTGCCTGCCCTCTGCCCTCCCCCTACTTCCCTTGAGAAGTGGGCAGGTCAGAGGAGAAAGCATTTGATTTGTCATGGTTTTTATTTATTTTTAATTTTTAAGCAAGCTTATGGCCCCAAGATCAAGAGTTAACATGTTCTACACTAACTGAGCCAGCCAGGCATCCCTCCTCTCATGTCTTTTTTTTTTTTTTTTTCCTCCTCTCATGTCTTGTTGCAACTTCATAGTGACCCCTTTGCTGAGAGGGGAGAGGATCTTGCTGCCCTTTGGGGTAGGAAAGATGAGCTGTCCAGGCATGGGAGAGTGAGGGATGGGGAGCCTGGATTTGAGTCCCAGCAGCCGATCCTCGGTTCTGCATCCCCACCCCACCGCCACGCCCTACAACTGCATGACTGGGAAGGGCACTTCACCCCTTGGAGTCACAATTTCAACTGTAAAACGTCAAATTAACAGTAACCTACCTCCTGGGGTAGTGTGGATTCAAAGAGGTCATGGGCACCAGTTAAGAATGTTAGGAAACAAATTAACCCCACGTATAACACTTTCCATAAGGAAAGCCTCTGTGCAGATTCCTTCTGCGCCTCTCTGGCATTATTGGGTCCTGGGCAGGGGCAGGGGCCACAGCGAGCCCCTAGGGATGGTTGGTTCCTGAACTTCACCAGGAGAACTCACCAGGAGCCAGCACCTCTCCTCCCAGGGCCCAGGGAAGCCCCTGCCTCGGGGGTCAAGGCATGAGTAAGACACAAGTAACCCTACATTCTTAACCCGTGTTCTCTAACGCTGGGTTGACCACCACAAGTGGGGGAACAAGTCTTGCAAAGTGAAGAACCGTAATTCTGGCTCTTAACCCTGCGGTACCAGTTCTGTCCGTGAGATGAACACACACAACACGAAAGGATCAGGAAGAGAGCCTGGGGACAAGGGTGGTCCCGTCGGTTAACCGTCTGGTCCCGCGTTCCTCTGGCCAAAGGCACGGAGTCCCCTGCAGGGCAGGCTCCGCGCGGCGGCTGGGGTGGGGGGATGCCGGGGCCCGCGGGAGCCTGGGCAGGGCGGCGGGGCCCGGGGGAGCCTGAGACCGGGGGTGGGGGGATGCCGGGGCCCGCGGGAGCCTGGGCGGGGCGGCGGGGCCCGGGGGAGCCTGAGACCGGGGGTGGGGGGATGCCGGGGCCCGCGGGAGCCTGGGCGGGGCGGCGGGGCCCGGGGGAGCCTGAGACCGGGGGTGGGGGGATGCCGGGGCCCGCGGTTATTTTATTTTATTTTTTAAATTATGTATTTATTCATGAGAGACAGAGGCAGAAGCAAGCTCCCTGCGGGGAGCCCGATTCGCGACTCGATCCCGGGACTCCTGGATCACGCCCTGGGCTGAAGGCAGACGCCAAACCGCTGAGCCACCCCCCCAGGGCTGCCCCCGCTGTGTTGTTTTTAAAAGGGGCACCGGGCTCCTGGAACACCTGGGCCGGTAACGACGTACTAGGAGCGCGTCTCCGCGCCGCCCGGGACCCGGGACGCGGGACCCGGGAGCCCTTTCGGCCCAGGGCGCAGGCGCTGCGCTGCGCTGCGCTCGGCTCCGCTCGGCTCCGCTCGGCTCCGCTCGGCTCCGCTCCGGCCCGGGGCGCAGGCGCGCCGCTGCTGCGTAGGGCTCCGCAGGCACGGCGAGTCGAGCGTCGAGCAGGCGGCCCGCGGGCGGCGCAGAGTGCCGAGCGGCGAGAGCCGCTAACGGTCGGCGCCCTCCTCCCCCGCGGCTCCGAGGCGGAGCCGGACGCGGGGAGCAGCTTTGCGGGCACTCGAGACGAGAGTACGTCTGGGGCGCCAGGGACGTGCGTGCGCGGCTTGGGGTGGGTGCCGGCGTCCTGCCCGGCGGGGGCGGGCCCGAGGAGGGGGGGTCGCCGGGAGCCGGACGCGGGCGCCCAGGGTGGCGGCAGCCTTGGGGCCAGGCGGGCTCGGCGAGCGAGGGGCGCCCGGGGCGTGGGCTGCGGCGGGGGAGGGGCCGGGGGCCTCGGGGAGCGCCGGGCTGGGCTGGGGCTGGGGCTGGGGCTGGGGCTCTGGTGCTCGCGTCGTGACTCGTCGCGTGGGTGGATACTCAGTCCTGACGTCCCCGGATTCGCACCCGGCTTGACCGCCGCTGCCCTGGCTTTGAGCGACCCCACAGAACGCGCGGCTCTTCGCGGTGCACCTGAGAGCCATGGGAATTGCAAAGGCTTTTCCTTGCATCGGTGAGCCCTCGAGGCTGCTGCTTATTTATTGATGCCGTCTCTTCCCTTCCTTTCCAGGGCATCCTCCGGGACCTGCTTCCCTACGGGATGTTGGGATTTTTGGAGCGCCCTGTGGTGGTGACAGCTGACATCAACTTGAATGTTGTGGCTCTGACTGCAGTGGGATTACTGAGCCGCCTGTGGCAGCTCGCCTATCCGAGGGCTGTGGTGTAAGCCAGACAACCCCCTTCAGGGCGAATCGGAAAGAATTGTACATTCGTTGGTGCATTGGTGACAAAGTGCCCTACTGAACAGCAGAAGTGGGAAAGCAGACTTCTAGGCTTCTCAGTGATGGGTGTTTTTGGCAGAGGAGAGGCCAGGTTGTCCCCCTGCTGAGTCCACCTATCCCGTCTTGCCCTGTAGCTCTCTAGCAGGTGAGATCTGGCCCATGAAACAGGTGCAGCAGTCTTAGGTAACCCTCTAAAATCAAAGGTGGAGGGTGGAAGATTGCTAGATTTGGAAGTGAGTCACCGTTGACCTTCGAGTGTCTTCTTTGTTCCAAGGAGAGATGACTGCTGGCAGTACCACGGGGCCGTTCCCTTTGTGGCTAACGTGCATCCTTTTTGTTTGTTTGTTTAACTTTACATCACGGAAAATATTGAATACACACAAAAGTAGGGAGAATAGTGTAATGACACCCTCCCCCCCAACCAGTGCATTCATCACTCAGCTTCAGTGGATTTTTTTTTTTTTTGAGGCAAGTCATAAGCAATATGTTTAAGTAATTTGGCATATTTCTAACATGAGAACTGTTAAAAACTGTATTGAAGTTATCACGCCTAAGAAATTGACAGCTGTATGGACAGTACCATTAAATGTCTGAAAACATTTGTTGCGGTTGGTTTCTGGGTGACTCCCTTTCACACATGCACCTGTTTCCTTTGGTGACCAAGTGTGATTCTGACCCTTAGCCACAGACATAGCCTTGGGTCTGTGAGGCCTTTCAGGAGGCTGCCTGCTAGCACATCCCTGAATAAAACTAGGGAGGGTAAATAGAGTCTGTGTTGGGCAGACAACCTGAGTGTGTAGCTGGTCTCCTGTCCTTGAGGGTGGATGATGCTGTGCACATATCTTAGTATTTGGGGATACAGTGCAGTTGTGGCAAAAGTTCTGACCTTTGCTGAGCGCTCTCTAACATTGTTTGGAAGCAGGTACACATTTACCCTTTCACCGTTGTTTGGTGAAGATTTCTAGTTGAATATCATGTGGGTTTGCTTTTCAGTTTTGACGAAGTGTATTATGGGCAGTACATCTCTTTTTACATGAAGCGGATCTTCTTTTTGGATGGCAGTGGACCACCGTTTGGCCACATGCTGCTGGCCTTAGGAGGTAGGATTCACTAGTAAGAGAAGTAGCCCTTTAAAACTTATAAGTGAGGGGTGCCCAGGCTGGCTCAATCAGCGGAATGCACGACTCTTGATCTTGGGGTTGTGAGTTCAAGTTCCATGCTGGGCATGAAGATTACTTAAAAATAAAGTAAAGCCTATTTATAATACCTAAATAAATAAATAAGTAAAATTGTGGCAACTTATTTTAAAATAATAAAATACAACTCATAAGTGAAATCTCTTGACGGTAGAAGCCACATCTAATTATTTATCATTGTTTCCCCGTTGCTGCCATGGTTTGGCATTCCCCAACTATTTGCTGAGTGGGATAGTTGCTGACTGATCTTCTGTTTCAGGTTATTTAGGAGGATTCGATGGTAACTTTTTGTGGAACAGGATCGGAGCAGGTAAAAAGTCATTTTCACATCCCTTATTACTTTGCACATATTAGAATGGAGAGGTAGTGGCTTTCCTGGGGATTTACAGCTGTGATTTCTTAATCTGTCCAGGGTATGATAGATTTGGTACAAGTGGAAGACCTTTCAAAAGAAAGGTGTGATAAACACTTTAGTGTTTAATCCTAGCATGTATTTTATTCTTAGTTTTCAGAACACATAGCACACTCTACGTGGCATCTGGTTGCAGTTATCTTTTGTACACGTAAATTTTGTACGTTGCTCAGTGTTTTGGGGGGAAAGTTGGAGTCCATTTATAAACAAGGAAAGCACTAATTTCAGACTTATTAGGCATTGTTTCTGTGCTTAACGAGAGCTGGGTATTGACTACACTTAGGTAATTTCAAAGCTTTTATTTGCAGCTTGCCCACTCTGTTCCTGATGTGGTCCCTAGTTTTGCCAGTTTGCATTTCAGGGTCCGTGAACATGATACTGTGTTTGAAAACACACCTGCAGCATAGGAAGGGGGTGGTGCATTGTACGCTCAGCTCTGCTGTGGTTGCCTTTCCAGAATACAGCAGTAACGTGCCCGTGTGGTCTTTGCGCCTGCTGCCAGCCCTCACTGGGGCGTTCTCGATCCCCATGGCCTACCAGATCCTGTTGGAGCTCGGTTTTTCTCACTGCGCTGCCATGGGGGCTGCTCTGCTGATGCTTATCGGTGAGACCTCTGCCTGCTTTGGTGTCACACAGGGAAGAACCCAGCACTGGCCTTGGTTATGTTTCAGCGTGCGTCCCAGAGAGCCCGTGAGCTTTGTCTATGTGGCCCGGCAGGGTCTCCTACTCACAGGATGGAAGGGAGTGTGTCCAGAGTGTCCAGATTTGACTCTGGGAGTCACCCTACTCCCTGGGTGTGGGGTGGTGGAACTGGGTGGTCACACACGTGCGGCCGTATAAATCAGGGCTGCCCAAACTGCTACTAGGTGCTCCGCCAGCATCTCCCTCCACCTCCTGCCGAGTCTGGCCCAGGTTTATGAGCAAATGAAACCAAGTTGGATGGGAAGTTAGGCTAGAAAGCAGAATGAGGGTGTGTCAAGTGGCTCCTCTCACTGAGTCCCTGAGCTGGGGTAAGGTCTTTGCACCCAGGGCAGCCCCACAAAGTTGGTATTCTTTCTGCAAATGAGAAAGGTAAAGACTCGGAAAGGTTCAGTGACTTGCCCAGCATCACACAGGCCTCACTAGGCATGATTCACCCTTGAGAACTTGCCTTCGTGGTTCTAGAGCCCATCCCCTTCCAGCCACCCAACCCTGAACTTCCCATGGCCACATTCTGTGACTTTAGAGTGTGTCCTCTCCATGGGTGCTTCCATCTTCCTGCATTTGCCCCTGTGGCCTGACAGCTGACGCGCATGCCCTCTTTCCAACAGAGAACGCTCTCATCACGCAGTCAAGGCTCATGCTTTTGGAGTCAGTGTTAATATTTTTTAATCTACTGGCTGTGCTATCCTACCTGAAGTTCTCCAACTCCCAAAAACACAGGTATGCACAGTGGGACCTGTCCCTCGTAGTTAATGAGAAAGAAGCGTCTGAGTGGCCTGTCGACCTGAGAAGGTCTGAGGGCTTTTCATTTCAGGGAGCTACTTGCAGACTGTCTCTCGTCCTTAGCTCCTGATGTCATAAATACATTCTCACTTTTGTATAAATTAAACTAACCGGGAAAATGTTCTGGCCGAAAAGAAAAATTCTGCTAGGAATAATATTTAGGAGACGAGGGTTCATTTTTCTTGTCCCAACTGTCGGGACAGCCAGCTGACCCCGAGAGATCTGAGGAATGTGCCTTCTTGCGTGATATTTCTCCCGATATTTCACGAACTGTTCCCAGCTTTGCTCTTCTGCTTTGACCCCAGGCCCTTCTCCTTGAGCTGGTGGTTTTGGCTGATGCTGACAGGAGTGGCCTGCTCCTGTGCGGTGGGGTGAGTCTGGTCTGTGGGTTGGAGGCAGCCCTCGTATCCTCCTCGTTCTCTGCCTTATTTTCATGTTTTTTCTCACATGTCTTTTCAGCGTCAAGTACATGGGTATTTTCACATACCTGCTCGTGCTCGCAGTTGCCAGTGTCCATGCCTGGCACCTGATCGGAGACCAGACTCTGTCAAACGTGGGTGTCGCAGTCAGGCGGGACACGTAGCCATCCCTGGGTGGGTGAGGGTCAGTGTGATGGGAGCATCTGGGGAGAAAGGCTTCCCAAGAAGACGGGCCTTTATGAGCCTCCCACCAGCGGCTTCGAGGAGCCCAGAGCTCTGCTGCTGACTCCCTGAGATCCTAGGTGAAGTGGGTGCACCTTCCCGAGCGGTGGGATGTGACCTGCCCTCTGGCTCCCGGCAGGTCTGTGTGCTCTGTCACCTGCTTGCCCGAGCCGCCGCTCTGCTTGTCATCCCCACCCTCATGTACTTGCTGTTCTTCTACGTCCACTTGATCCTGGTCTACCGCTCTGGGCCCCACGATCAAATCATGTCCAGTGCTTTCCAGGCCAGTCTGGAGGTAAGACAGGGTGCCGTGGCCACCTCAGAGAAGGGACAAGAGTAGATTTGGAGTTTTTTATTTTTTAAGATTTTGTTTATTTGAGAGAACGTGCACAAGCACGGGGAGGGGCAGAGGGAGAAGCAGACTCCTGCTGAGCAGGAAGCCCAACATGGGGCTCCATCTGGAACCCCAGGATCATGCCCTGAGCTGAAGGCAGGTGCATAACTGACTAAGCCACCCAGGTGCCCCTAGACTCAGATTTTTCTTATGTAAACATCATCAAGGGTTCGCAGGAAAACCAAATCAAGATGTGAAGAATCCACTGTAGTATTTTTCTAAGCTAATTCTGTGTGTGCTGATGGTATGGAAATAGACGAGGGGGTCAGCTCTTCAGTGTGACCTGCCTCTGGACATCATGAAGTCCTGCAGCCTCGGGACAGGTACACATGCTTCACAGGACAAGCCAGACTCTGGCGTTCGCTCCTACTGACTTTTTTTTTTTTTTTTAATTTTTATTTATTTTATGACAGTCACAGAGAGAGAGAGAGAGAGGCGCAGAGACACAGGCAGAGGGAGAAGCAGGCTCCATGCACCGGGAGCCCGATGTGGGACTCGATCCCGGGTCTCCAGGATCGCGCCCTGGGCCAAAGGCAGGCGCCAAACCGCTGCGCCACCCAGGGATCCCCCTGCTCCTACTGACTTTTGCAGAGATAGTGAAACGTACCGATTGGGGTGGTGAGGACAGGAGAGCAGATGGACGCACTCCTGAGTGCTGGCTCTGCTGACAGCCAGGTGTCCATGTTGGGCAAATTTCTTAGCTCATCCCAATGCTAGTTTTCTCACCTTTTTTTTTTTTTTTTCTTAAAGATTTATTTATTTAGGAGAATGTGCTCACATGGATGAGCAGGGGGCAGGGCAGAGACAGAGTGAGTCTCCAGCAGGCTGCCTGCTGAGTGTGGAGCCCACTGTGGTATGGGGCTTAATCCTTCCACCCTGAGACCATGACCTGAGCCGAAACCAAGAGTTGGACACTTAACCGACTGAGTCACCCAGGTGCCCCATTTTTAAAAAAAGAGTTATTTGAGAGTCTCACCTTTACAGGGTTGCTCTTTCTCCAAAGATGCCCAAGCAACTGAGGGTGTGTGTGGAAGGGTGGAGGATGCCTGGCCCTGGAGGCAGCATCCAGTCCACAGCAGCTGTGTTATGATTACAGTAACGTAACCTGAACAGAGTAGGTCCTGCGTTGTCATAATGTGACATAATAATGACTGCCACCACCCCGAATACGCCCCCCTCCCCCCATGGAGGTGTGCCTGTTGGAGAGGCTCTCACTTGCCACCTTTTGCTTTTGTCTTAGGGAGGACTAGCCCGGATCACGCAGGGTCAGCCCCTGGAGGTGGCCTACGGTTCCCAGGTCACTCTGAAGAATGTCTTTGGCAAACCTGTGCCCTGCTGGCTTCATTCCCACCAGAGCACCTACCCCATGATGTAAGGAAAGTGACTGTTGTAAATAGAAGATCATAACACGTTTGCTTTTTTTTTTGTATTTTTGCTGTTACCAGTTTTCTTTGTAAATTTCTGAGACAGACACTGAGCTCTCAGATTCTGATTACCAACGAATCTTGTCATTTCTATGTATGAAATAGAGCATCTTGAGGGAGCAGAGGGCCCGGGCTGTCACTCATCTGCTCTGTGACTCGCATGCTGAGCACGTTGTCCTGCCTGGAGCGCTGCTTAGGTTCCCATTGTCCAGTCCTTCCTAGACCCACACTTCGTGCCCATCCCTGTTTTGACCCAGACACTTTGCCGGGTGGTATTTGCAGGAACCTCGAGAGAAAGGCTGATTGCTGCGCACCAGACGCAGTGTTGTGTTGATTCCTTCACACAGATACGAGAACGGCCGAGGCAGCTCGCACCAGCAGCAGGTGACTTGTTACCCCTTCAAAGACGTCAACAACTGGTGGATCGTGAAGGATCCTGGGAGGTGCGTGCAGGTCCTGGGTCTCCAGAGTGGGGCTCACCTCGTGGCCCCTTCTCCCTGTATGCTTCCTCCCTGGAAGCTTCGAGAGCAGCTCTGCGCTGATGAGCCCATGGTCAAGGGGTTTGATGCTTCCTCAGTGAACTGCCCACCCAGTATCTCCCCTGGGTACTCCCCAGGCACATCCCAGACAGACTCTCCTCTGCCAGCGCTCCCTGTGCTTCCCCCCATCCCCAGGCATTCCCTTGCTGAGGCCTCAGACGGAAGAGTCCCTGGTCTCTGGACTCCACCTGCATAGGAGGTCTCGAACCATCTTGGCCTCCATCTCTACCACCTGCCGCCTCCCCAACTCTCTCCTCCCACTCCAGCTTTGCGGCCCCGCGTGGTTTTTTAAAATGTCACTTGTGGCAGGTCATGGTCCTGCTGAAAGGCTGAAACCCTTCCTAGCTTCCATTACCCCTCCAGGGTCATCCAGACCCCTGGTGGTGGCCTGCAGCTCTCAGCCTCCTTCCCGCTCTGCACCTGGCCCATGCTCACAGTGCTCCCCCTGCCCCGCGTTTCTGCTGCCCCTCAGGCTGGAACAGTCCTGCCCAGCCGACTCCTTAAAACCTGACGGTCCCCTCCTCTGGGAAGCTGCCTTGGCCGCCCTCCTCCCTGTCGTGGCTCCTGCGTCCATCGCAGTACAGCCAGGATGGCTGATGAGCACACTGTCTTGTCTGTCGTGTTTGCCACTTCCTGCAGTAACACGAGGGTGGCGGGCTGTCTCTGGCTGTTTGACCATGTTGGCACCACCCTGAAGGGCCCACAGTACACTTGTGTGGACAAAAGAGTCCACGTGTTAGAAGGATTTCTGGGGGGCACGGCTGTGCTTGTCACTGTGCCGTCTGTAGACACACAGCAACCATAATGTGGTGATGGCACACAGGAGTCCCTTTCGGAAGCTTGGAAAGAGACCTTGGGTTTCAGAAAGGAGTTTAGGAAACGTGTGTGTTTTGTTTTTACATGAATTGATCTCGCATAAGGCACCGGTTGAGTGGGCCAGATTGGCCCTGATGGGAGAATGCGGGTGTCGTTACGTTGTGCGGCGCGCGTGCCAGCCTGCCGGCCTCTGTCTCCGCAGGCACCAGCTGGTGGTGAACAATCCCCCGAGGCCCGTGCGGCACGGGGACGTGGTGCAGCTGGTGCACGGCATGACCACCCGCTTCCTCAACACGTGAGTGCCTGCCCTCGCCCTCTTCCCTCGCTTGGGTGCTCCCCTGGGGTTCTCTGTCCAGAGCACAGCCCGCCCCCTGCTGCAGGCCCCACGGCTGTTCTTGCTGCCTTGGGGCGGACCTGCACTGTGACCTGCGATTGATGGGTGCTCAGGGTCTGGAGGGCCCCCCCAGTGAGGGCAGCACAGGGAGAGTAGGCCGGAAATGGAGCCTTAGCGGGGTAGCCTGGGAGCTCCCATGGAGGGGTCCACCCCGCAGTGGGAAGCCCAGTGGGGGAAGCTTTGATAAATGAGGGGGAGCACGGGAGTGCTGCTCACACAAAAGGAAGTGCAGGTGCTTCCATAAGGTTGAATCCCTTACCGTGTATGTGAATTCAAGAAGGATTTCGATCCTGGCTAATTAGGGTCAGGAAGGGTCTTTCAGTGTGGGTTCTTGGCCCTTACCTGACCTGAGCCATCTCTGCATATAGACATTCCTGGGCCACCACCCATCCCAGCTTCTTGGGTCATCTCACGGCTCCTCCTGACTCCCAGATTGTGCCCCAAGTCCCCACTTCCTGTGAAAGCCACCAGCAGGCTCCTGGCCTCTGGCCTTCTCCCTGGAAAGAGCCAGTTGCCCAGCCACCACCCCAGTTCCTCTCTTTCTTCCTTGCCCTCCCGCCATGGCCCAGTCCACGCGGGATCCCTGTGCCCCGACTTCGTGCCTCTGTGCCCTTCACCCCACAGCGGCACCCTGGGAACACACACAGTCTACAGGCCCGGCCTCTTTTCTCGGCCATAAGTTCTCCAGTGACTTCTACTCAGAATAACGTCCCTACTTCTCCTGGGCTGCAGGTCCCTTGGGATCTGGGACCTTGACTCCAGGGCCCAGGCCGCCCTGCTGTCCCAAAGTGATCGAGTGCAGCTCCCATGGGCCAGGAGTGTTCTTGACTCACTTGCTGTAGTCACATGTCAGCTGAAATGTCCCCTCAAAGCCTTTCCTGGGTGCTTTGGTTTTACTGGTAGCGCCACATAGCCCGGCACTGTCTTGTCCCTGTGTGAAGGTCCCTGCCCATAAGGACTGTCTTTGCTCACCATGGGGTCTCCAGCTCCTCCCTAGTGCTTGGCGCAAAGTAGGATAAAGTGTAACAGCCGAGTGAATGAGGGAGGTGTGTATTTGTGGACGTTGGAGGTCACCGACCCCGAGGGCACCTTGCCCCTGACAGCATTCCCAGTACTGCAGATGGTTCCAAGGTCCAGCTGTCAGGGGCCTGCTGGGTGCGCGTCCTCGTGCTCCCAGGACAGTGGGCACCCTGCTCTGAGGCCTGGTTTGTTGTTCTGTGGTGGAACTGCGACCCCCACCTAGTGCGGATTCCTGTCTCTTGGACAGCACATCACGTGTCCTCTTCCCTGGGGTGTGGTTCCCAGGGAGCTGCTGCCGTCTCAGTGTCTCGTGTATCAGCATGGCATCAGGTGGCGCCCTTGGGTCCGAGTGCTCTGTCAGGCTGAGCTGGCTCCAGTTCTGAAAAGTGGATTTTCCCCCCAAGGCCTACTGAGTGAGGAGCTCCGTCCACAAGACTGTTTGGTTTTGCAGGCACGACGTGGCGGCGCCCCTGAGCCCCCACTCGCAGGAGGTGTCCTGCTACGTTGATTACAACATCTCCATGCCCTCCCAGAACCTCTGGAGACTGGTGAGTCCCTGCCGGAAGCCCATCATGCTGGCCATCAGGGACACATCCTTTCTCACACAGGATGTTCAAAACCACTGTTGAGAATAATTGTCATTCAGATGTAAATTAGTGATTTTTTAGCCCATAAAAAAGTCCTCCATGTTTTTGTGGAGGAGGACTATGTGGGAGGGATGAGTTTGTGGAACAGCTGGTTGGTGTTCCCATGGCCTTCGTGGCCTGCCAGGTGAAGGTTCCCTCTGACTTGGTGGCTCATTCACTGAACCCACAGGGTCAGGGCCCCCGGCCACCTCTCCTCTTGTAAAGCCTGGTGTGAACCAGCGCCCTGGTCCCAGGGTCTCCCCAGGGACGGCTTGGGGCTCCAGCCAGGGTGGTTCCTTGGGGTTGCACTTCCCTGAGGCAGCCAGGCCTATGAGGGCCTTTCCTCGAGTGTCCAGGGGCACATGCTGCTCCCAGAGTCCCTCTCCAGGCCTGCACGCGGCGTCCTGGGAGAGCCGGCAGGAGGAAAGAGTGCTGTTCCTGGGCCCAGGCGCCACTGTGAGTTCATGGACGAGTACAACCACAGCTCCCGTCAGTGAGTGCTCTAATGCGCTGGGGCCTGTCTCTGACGAGAGGTTGGCTCTCCTTCCATCCTTCCAGCCTCCGACTGCCGCAGCAGCTGCCCACCCCACACCAGCCTCCCTGACCCCCTTCAGGTTCTCTCGGTATGACTGGCACAGTGTGCTCAGCGGCCCCCCAGCAGAGCCAGGGCACAAGGCTGCCGTTGGACTGTGTGTGGGGGTGGGGGGCACCTTCTCTGCTGCACGCGCCTGCCTCCCTTCTGGTTCTCCCCAGTCTCCTTGGCTGTCCCCGTGGGACGGAGCGCTGTGGTCCTAGGCCTGGTCCCTGGGAGCTCTCCCCGGGGACTTCTACTGAATGTCCCACCCACTGCCCTTCTGCCATCCTGTGGTCTGTGGCTGATTCCTCCTCCTTCTCCTCCTCCTCCTCCTCCTCCTCCTCCTCCTCCTCCTCCTCCGACTCCTCTCCACCCTTTCCCTCCTCCCCCTCCTCTCCTTCCCCTCCCCCTCCCTCCTTCCCCTCCTTTCCCTCCTTTTCCCTCCCCCTTCCTCCTCCCTGTCCCCTTTCTTCCCTCTCCTCACTCCTCCTCACCTTCAGCCCCACAAGCCCCACATTTCAGGAACTGCAGCTCACTTAGCAAGGAGGGAGGATGGCTGACGCAGGGTGTGCCTGTGGCCAGGCCACCTGCATGCTCCTGCCGAGCCCATGGGTCCTCTGGTTCTCGCCCACAGCCACACGTGCTCACACATCATCGCAGGGCTGCGAGAAGTTAAGATAGGACAAGGCCAAGTGCTCTCACAGTGTTAGTGAGAGCCCCCTCACCACGGGGGCCCCCCTCCGAAGTCACCTCTTGGGGACCACCTCTGACCCTCACCCAGACTGTCTGTGCATTTGTCAGAGAAGGCAGGGTGGTGCCCCCACCCCCGGCCACACCAGCACCTTGCTGTGTGGGTGTCCCGGCACGAGGTCAGGGGTGCCATCCTGTTAGCTCCCCAGAGCTCAGCCCCTGATCTCAGACCTGGGCAGCGGCATTGTCTGGTGACTGGTCCTCACTTGATACATAAGGAAATTGGGGAAAGAAGGGGCTCATCCACAGGACCTATTTTTACAGGACATTGTAAACCGAGAATCCGACACAGAGGTTTGGAAGACCATCTTGTCCGAGGTCCGCCTGGTGCACGTGAACACCTCTGCCGTCCTGAAGGTAAAAGGGCACCGTGTTGGGCTTGCCCGTCTTGGCTGGGGGCTCACAAAATCAGTTTAGTGGACCCTACATCCACGTCTCCTGCACTCAGGAGGGCTTTAACTGCTCAGAACTGAATCTGGAACGCAGCAAGGCCCGCAGAGGGGAGGCTGCCACCCTCACTGGCTGTGGACAAAGTGACCGGGTAGCCGGGCTGGGGACGAGCTGAGGCCTGGGGCCTCCATGTCATACCCTGTCTCCCCCCGGTTTTGCCAGCTGAGCGGCGCACACCTCCCAGACTGGGGGTTCCAGCAGCTGGAGGTCGTTGGGGAGAAGCTGCCCCAGGGCTACCACGAGAGCATGGTGTGGAATGTGGAGGAACATCGATATGGCAAAAGTGAGTCGGTCCAGCCCACGGGCTTGCCATTGCTGCTGCTATACCGAGATGCCACCCCCGCGGGCTGTGGTTCTGGGGGGACCAGACACGCTGTCCGTGCTCTGCTGAGCTGAGCCTGAAACAAGCGAAGCTGTCACTCTGAGGTCTCGCCACCAGAAGGCAGTGCAAGCTGAGCTTTCCCAGTGAAAAGATCTGGATTTGATGGGTGCCATCGCGCGGTGGGGAAAGCCAAAGGGAGTCATGTGGGTCGGTTGGAAAAGTGGGAAGTTGGCTTTGCTCCAGGCTGACAGCTTCTGTTGTGAGCCCCCTGACTTTCCGCTCCTGTGTTCTTTTGGGTCACCTCTTTCTGTTAGGCCAGGAGCAAAAGGAGAGGGAGCTGGAGCTGCACTCACCGGCACAGATGGATGTCAGCAGAAACCTAAGCTTCATGGCCAGGTTCCTGGAGCTGCAGGTGAGGCGGGGCAGCATGGCTCTGCCTGGGCGAGCTGGCTCCTCTCCAGACAGAGCACTGTGCTCGGCAGAGCCCCTCCCTTCCCGTCGTCAGCCTTTACACTGGGACGTGGCCGGGCAGGGAGGGTTCCTCTCCTCTGCCATTAGTGGCCAGCACCACTCTGCTGGCCCCGGGCCTGTGGCTTTGCGGGCACAATAGTCAGGAACCAGGCGATGTTGCATTGCCACATGGCCAAAGTATGTTTGGAACCCCCCAGGTCAGGTCAGAGTGCACCAACGTCAACATAATGGAGCGCTAGAGAGGTCAGGATTGGAATCTCGCGGTCCTGAATCTAATAGCATCCTCAGCACCAAGTTCAATCCCTTACCCCTCAGTCAGGGTGTTGGGGGCCTGGGGACTAGGGCTCAGCTGCCACCTGGGCTATATGATCCAGATGAATGTGAAATTGGATACCCCAGCCCCTCCGACAAGCCCCTGAGCAAGGACGATGTCCGGCTGGCCACTCGACTTCAGCCTCTGGCCTTCTTGCAGTGGAGGATGCTTACGGCAAAGAGTGATGACTCGGAGCACAAGTACAGCTCCTCGCCGCTGGACTGGGTCACCCTGGACACCAGCATCGCCTACTGGCTGCACCCTAGGACCAGCGTAAGTGGGCGCTCGTGCAGGCTGCAGGTCGAGCGCTCGCTGGAGACTCCCCTGGCGTGAAGAGCAGCCCTGCCTCCACCCTGGCCCTCGCTGTCTCCAGGCCCTGCCTAATGGATGGGGCAGCACGGGGCCAGTACTCCCGTCAGATGTGAGGAGTAAGGTCCTGACACGTCTGCGTGGTGAGGGAAACCGGGCTTTACCACTTTGGGGGAGCACATTGTTCCCCCTTTCCTGACAAAAGTGGTTTTTAAAATTATCCCTCTTTAATTTTGTGCAGAGCGCGAGCAGCTGAGTTCATCAGAGCTTTCTCACATCTGCGTTGTCCCTCTTCACCCGCAGAACGAACAGGCCTGGAGCTGGCACTTGGCGCTCCACAGATACTCCCCAAATGAGTTCACACTGAAAACGCTCCCCTTTCTCTGCCCCACCCCCATGGCCTCCAGTGGAGACAGGGTCACAGTCACTGGCTGTGAAGCTGAGTCCTTAGGCCCTGGGTTAGCCATCTGCGAGCAGCTGTTGTTAAAGCAAGAATGTCAGCTACTCCCAGTTGTGTTTCCACTTACAGAATCGAGGACCTTAGCACTTTTCCTGGGGGAGTCTCATTGGGAATAGCCACGTCCATCAGCCGTGGGCTGGAGGCCCAGCCTGCACCCATGTTTCGGCTGAAGGCTGGCAAGCAGGCGAGCGTCATCGAGGGTTTGTCCCTCTGAGTGGCCGGTGGCCAACAGTGCCTCCCGCTGCCCTCACAGGCTCAGATCCACCTGCTTGGAAACATTGTGATCTGGGCTTCGGCCAGCCTCGCCATGGTGGTCTACATCCTGCTCTTCTTCTGGTACCTGCTCAGACGCCGAAGGAGTATCTGCGACATCCCTGAGGGTTAGTGCAGCTTGCTTTTTTTTTTATTTATTTTAAATTTTTATTTATGATAGTCACAGAGAGAGAGAGAGGCAGAGACACAGGCAGAGGGAGAAGCAGGCTCCATGCACCGGGAGCCCGATGTGGGATTCGATCCCGGGTTTCCAGGATCGCGCCCTGGGCCAAAGGCAGGCGCCAAACCGCTGCACCACCCAGGGATCCCCCTGCAGCTTGCTTTTGATGGGCGACACTCACTGCCTCACTCAGCAGGAGCCTGTGCCTTAAGGCGACCTTGTTTCCTCGTGGAAGGAGCTTAAATCTATTTTTATCTACCTAGAGACAAAATGTTGCCATTGTATTCCCACACTGTTAGAGGCTTCTTCGGGGAAATGTAAGGACCAGGCAGGGATTGCTGTGACCCCAGGATGTGAGCACAGCCTTAGCACTTGCACGCTCTGGAATGGCTGGATGGCAGAGAGGGGCCAGCGGGTGCCAAGTTACTCAGGTGGCGGTGGTTTATATAACAGAAACCACTGCAGACCATCTTGAGACAAAAGGAATAAAGACTCAGGGCAGGGTGGGCCCCAAAGGCCTCGGGAGCAGTGTGGCACCGTGCCTACTCTTCCTGCTGATGCCCGCCTCAGTGGGTGAGGCGGGTGCACAGATACAGACCCTCACAGTCCGGCTCCGGCCCCACTTGCTGCTGATCCTGGCAGAGCTGGGGCCCCCAGGAGGCTGGTACGGTGCAGGGGGTCTGGATAGTGAGTACCCTGCAGGAAGCCATAGGAGGTCCTTACATCACGGGAAGGGGCGGGAGGTGGGGGAAATGGAGAGCAAGTGTCCCTCAAGGATGAGGAAAGCAGCTCGTGGGACTGGCCAATATCTTTGCAGGGAGGCCCTGGCCGGCAGCACTGGCTCAGGGCGGCCTCCTCCTGCAGATTCCTGGCTGCGCTGGGTGCTGGCCGGGGCTCTGTGTGCCGGCGGCTGGGCAGTGAACTACCTCCCCTTCTTCATGATGGAGAAGACGCTCTTCCTCTACCACTACCTTCCCGCGCTCACCTTCCAGATCCTTCTGCTCCCTGTGGTCTTGCAGCATGTCAGCGACCACCTGTGCAGGTACAGGGCCTGCACAGCCACACCTCTCGGGGGCACCGGCTCCAGGGGAGTCCTCAGTGTTGACTTGGGTGTGGCGTGGAAGGGCTTAAGGTCACAAAGGAGGCACAGGGGAGGAAGGCGTGGCTGGCTGGGGAGGCTGGGAGAGCAGGGGGTGCTGTGGGAGATGGGGAAGGGTGCTTATGGCTCTGGGACAGCCAGTGGAATTGGCCAGGTTGCATGGTGTGCAGTAGAACTGAACCAGAAAGCTTTGTAAACCAGAGTGAGTTCTGGAAGCTGGACCAAAGGGGGTGGCCTCAGCATGTTGGGGGGCCGGGAGTTACAGAGCCTCTCGGGAGGGCTGCAATATGATCATGTTGGGTACAGGGACTCTACTCTGGCATCCGAGTGCAGATGGGAGATTCTGGAAGGTGCACAGGAAGGGTCACATTCAGTGCATCAGGCAGGGGTGAGAAGGGTGGAAAGGCAGGGGCTGTATGCACATCGTGGTGAGGAGGAGCCACATCCCACGTGCCCATGCTCTGCTGGTGCCCACAGGTCCCAGCTCCTGAGGAGCCTCTTCAGTGCCCTGGTTGTGGCCTGGTACTCCTGTGCCTGTCACGTGTTCAACACGCTGCGCCCACTGACCTACGGGGACAAGTCACTCTCACCCAGTGAACTCAAGGCCCTTCGCTGGAAAGACAGCTGGGACATCTTGATCCGGAAACACTAGCAGGACACAAACGGTAAAAGTGGGGGCTGGGGTCAGGCGAGGTAGAGTGGTCGTTCGTAAACGTGTTCATCTTTGACAGTTGCCCCAAAGCCTGGTGGACTGGCTGGGCTATGGTGGTTTCATTCTTCAGTCTGCTGATAGGCGGGCAGTTTTGAGCCAAGTTTCTGTTTCCCAGGTGATAAAGAACACGCCCCTGCATCCACTGCCACTAGAGCCCCCTGAACCAGGGCACATCGAGGGCTAGCATAGGACTTGTAAGAGACACCGGAAGGCAGCAGGCAGCCGTGGGGTGAGTTAGCGCTGAAGCTGCTGAGGCCCCAGTCCTGGTGTTGGGCCTGGTCCCCTCCCTGGGCGCCCACTGGATCCAATGCTGAGCCATAGCTGTCTCTGCTCTGAGTGACAGGCCTTTGATTCTGATCCCTGCACAAAGACCCTGGTGCACCACAGTGCCGCCGACTCTTGGCCCTTGCCCCCGCGAGACTCGGCTGGGACGCACGAGCCAGCAGCACTTGTCACCCTTACATGTCCTTGTCCTGACTCTGCCTTCTGTGTACAATTAAAAAGGGGACAAACTGGCATCGGTGTTTGATGTTATTTATTGATGCGCTCTCCAAGAGGGCATAGAGCTCGGCCAAACTCAACTGAGGTCCTATCTGTGTAACTACACTTAGTACTCGATAGAAGGAAACCAGGATCGCCCATGCAGGTTGGCCGGGGGGCAACAGGAAAGTGTCACTTTCATACACACAGTGCCGTCTGGGAGGGCGACAAACCAGGACAACGCAGACTGCAGGCACCGTTCGTGCAGCTATGGACTTGGTGTGTGCAAGGAGGCCAGCTGGCTTTGGACGGCATGCCCCGGATGGGCCCAGGCTACCCCAGCGAAGCCCTGTCCACACAGCCCCCCCAGCCCCGGAGGCCCGAGCAGGCCTGTGTGTGGACACAGCACCCAGCAGCCTGCGTCCCGCCCTCCTTGAGGGAGCAGGTGCTGCCTCCCGCGTCTGATGCTGGTTAAGGAGAGCTTGTTTCCCAGGGCTCCTTCCTTGGCTCCTGCCTTGGCGCACAGCCCGGGAGGAAGGAAAGCTCCTGTAGCTCCTTCCATCAGTGTGTGCCACACTGGCTCACACCCGCTGGTGGGGCACGAAACTCGGTTACTAGGTCACAACTAACATGGTAAATAACGAAACATTCGCATGTGTAACAAGGGGGGAGGGAGACATGACGTACTCTCTTCAAACCTCTGCTTCAGTCACGTGTGGGAACCAGATCATACTAGAATCTCTCTTGCTCTAGGTTGGTGTCACACACGCCAGGACAGCCACAGTGTGCAGGCTTGTGCCCCATGTCCCCAAGAGGCGTGACAGGCTCACCACACATTCTGTGGCGTTTCCCAGTAACTCAGACTTTTAACCGCCTTAACGTGAGGAAGCAGGTGAAAACGGGGGGCCTGCCAACATCCCGCCAAGCATGAGGAACGGGAGGTCTGCCCGCAACAGGGAGGACCCTGTGATCCTCGCACCACCCTGTCTGTACCGTATGATGCCGAGAAGAAGCAGCGGCAGCGTCTATGGGGCGGGTGGGCCAGACCCTGAGCATGGCCTATTGGGGTTCCTCAGTGGGGTCTGCTGCTGGACTCCAAGTGCGATCGCTTGCCAGAGGTCAGCACCCCAGGGCGGTCTCCGGGCTCAGGGAAGGTCCTCTTGTAGCTCCGCCCATTGGACCCTCGGTGCCACTTGCAGATGTCGCCACTCAGGATGTCCTGGATGTGCTGCACAATCAGGTTGATGGCCACTGTAGCAAAGACAAGCACGCTTAGCCACATCCGCTCCCCGTTGGGGCCTCCAGGCCAGCGAGCCACCTGCAGTCAGCTCACCAGGCTGCACCTTCACACGGTGCTCAGGGCCGGGGGCACAGGCCCCCCTGGGAGGCTTCCCCAGGGCGCCAAGTCTTGGCACACAGAAAAACTCATGTCAGGGAAGGAGCACGAGGTTCCTGACCTGGTCTGTGAGGCTTTCTGTCAACCAAGAGCCTGGGTAAAATACTTTCTGCTCACAAGTGAGTCCCTGTCAACATAAATATCTGTTTCCGGGTTTACTGAGATGTAGCTGACAAACAAGAGGAGGTCAGTTAAAAGTGTACAATGTGCAATTTTAAAATATATTTTTTAGGTATTCTTTAAACTTGTGCCATAAACGTCTGCAGATAGGCAACTCTCATCACCTCAGCGTAACTGCTGGCACAGGGCAAGGTCTGCTTCGGGGCTCTGGGGAGCTGATTTAGGAGTCGGGGCAGCTCTTAGGCCTGATTCTTACCCATGTTGTCGACCCCCCGAGGGATGATCACATCCGCATACTTCTTGGTCTGCAAGGCAAAAAGGATCCTGTGAGGATCTGTCCCCTCAGGGCCTTCTGGCTCTGGGATGCTAGACTCACTGGAGGGACAGTAGCCCTGGGGGTGGCAGACGGGTGGGGGGGGGTGGCGGGAGGCAGGGGTGAGGCAGGAGGAGAAGGTGGGGCAGCCAGAAAAGACGTGTTTCTCTCCTGGCATCTCCGAAATGCTCCCGGCTTGTGCTTTTCTGGAACCCCACCACAGGAACAGTTCTCTGCGTTAACGATTCACTGAGCCAAGTGACGTGTGGCATCCTCTTGCAACACGTGACCTCCTTCCTCTGCACTAGGAACCTTTCTGCAAGAAGCCTGGAGCAGTGAGCAGCTCAGGCAGCAGCAAACACCCTGGACAGCAGAGCCAGGCCATCTGTGGTACCTGGCCCGCACTCCCACCTGATCCCCGGCAGGTGCTCTACTAGGTAAGGGCAGGGAGAAATACCAGGAAGAATGGGCCACCAAGGGGACTCCAAAGGGATGTTACTGAGGGGGACAAACCTCAATCAGGCAAAGCCAAGGGAGAGGAAAAGAAAGCGGTCTGAGCGGAGTGTGGTGGGTGTGTGGACCGGGATCGAGAAAGCCCTGAGCCACACAGGCAGGTGGGGATCCAATCCCAGGGCAGCTGTGTCTGCGGGCAGCAGGGACCCACAGAAGACATGGGCACAAGAGGGCCAGGGCTGGCTCTGGTGGGGTTGGCCGGGGCGGGAGAAGGGCTATAGGGGTGAGGGACACCATCACCCTGGCTGGACTCGGTGTGTGGGAAGTGTGAGGATGGTGCTGGGGCTCAGCCCACACCCAGGGTCACCCAGGGTCACCAGGTCGGACTGGGTTGTCCAGAGTTTGACTCTAAACTACTTGCTCTGCCAAATGTTTTTCTGCGACTAACAGTATGATTATCAACGTACTTTTCCCATCATTTTCTAGATGCTTCAGAGAACACGAATGTAAAATAACAAACGTTCTCTACCAACAGCGGCAGACAGCACTGCTGTCCTCGACTGAGGCAGGAAGCTGCTTCTGCTTCCCTTGTGCTGTATTTTACTTTTAAGAAGCAAAACGTTGGGACATCTGGGTGGCTCAGTGGTTGAGCGTCTGCCTTTGGCACAGGGCGTGATCCCAGGTCCTGGGATCGAGTCCTGCATTGGGCTCCCCGATGGAGCCTGCCTTTCCCTCCCCCTGTGTCTCTGCCTCTCTCTATGTCTCTCATGAATAAATAAATAAAATCTTAAAAAAAAAAAAAAGTTAAGTTTCCCTTTCTGGCTTCCTGTAAGTCCTAGATTATTTAGCAAGAGCTGGAAAGGAGAGGGAAAGAGGTGGCTACAGGACCCCGGGTGCCAGCCCAGAGCAGCCTGTAGACACATGCAGCGTGGGTGAGGTCAGCAAGTGCCCACGACATGCCAGGGACGTGCCCATGGGCCGTGAACAGACCCAACCCCCCACGCACTTGGGCTCTGCCCCATGCTGAGGGGGCATGCAGAGCGCAAAGAGCCCCACCGGGCAGAGGTGCCCTAGGGAGCGGCAAGCAGGCGGGCTAGGAGCAGAAGGGCCTCAGGGTGACCCTGCAGCAGGAAGGTGAGCTGCATGGACGCAAGGGCGCGGAGGAAGGGAGACCTACAGACAACGCCCCCAGAGCCGAGCCCAGGCCCTGCGAGGGGGTGTCACAAGCAAACTTCTCCGCTCATAAATCAGACCCTGTTCACCCGTAATTCAGCGCTCACAGGACAGGGCGCCGAGAGTCCTCTTGAAAAGGGAGAAAAGGAGGCTCCCCAAGTAAGCGAGAGGGGTACCGGCAGGCAGAACTCTTCGAAGGCTGGCTTGACGAAGGTGGTGTACTGGGTCAGGATCTGCTCCAGGTCCCTCCCGCGGTGCACATCCCGGAGAACTGAGGCAGGAGGGAGGCAGTCAGGGCTGGCGGCCAGCCTCGTCCAGGGGCACGGGGGGCCCCCGCAGCCATCCTACCTCTTCTCGACAGCCTGACGTCGGAGTCCGTGTCCACGAAGAGGCGCAGGTGAAACATGTCCCGGACCTCCTGGCTGTAGAACACCAAGATGCCCTCGAACAGGACCACATCTGCAGGGTACACCACTGTGGTCTCCGCTAACCTGGGAGGCGAGACCAGGACACGGGTGCCACTGCAGGACATGCGGAAGGTGGGGGCCCAGGTGCCATCGCTCTAGTCCCCCACCCCCACCCCAGGGTACTGACTGCGGAGGGGGACAGGTCACAGCACGGGGGAGGGCTGTGCACAGAAACCACCAGGGCAAGGCTGCTGCACGGCCCCTCTCCCAGGAGTCACTGTGCTCACCTTGAATGGGTCACAAAATCATAGGTTGGGACCTCGACTGTTTTGCCCTCCACGATGTTCTTCAGAGTCCTGTGCATCAAGTCATTATCAAAGGCATCTGCCGGAATGGAACCAGAGGCAAGGCTATCCAGGTGTCCTTGTGCTGGGGACGGGAGCGAACTTCCTCTGCGTCTGGGTCAGGCAGCCCAGCGACCCTCGGGAACATGTGGACTTGAGAGTCCCGTGTCTCCCCCCACCCCCATTCACATTCGCAGGGCCACCCACCCGGGCTGCTATCCTACGCAGAAGTTTGGAACTGGGCATTTCCTGCTCGGCCTGCACTGGGAGGTAGGTGGGTTAGGCACCTGCTTCTATTTCTGGGAACTAACCACGACTGGTGCTCCTCAGGCCTTTCCCCCACCATGTCCCCCGAGAAAGAAATGAGGATGGGAGCCTCATTCCACAGGGTGGAATCTTCTAGCAGTGCCAGGCAAGGACAGGCTGGCTCTTTCCCCTCATCTATCTGCCCCATTTGCACCTGCCCCCTGATCGGGCCAGACCAGACCTGGCCCTCCTGTTTACCCACTGCCTGCCCAGCTCCCCTCTCAAGGACTCTGCCCGGGGGCAGGTGGGGAAATGCCCTGCTGTATACAAAGGACCCCAAACAGCAGGAAGGTGGGGGACTTTCTCCGTGACTTCACGGCAGAGCAGTGGTCCCCACGGCCCCTCCAACAGCAAAGACTTCCTGACTGGCTCCGACTGCGGGAGCCAGCAGCTCCCGCCGGGCCACTCAGGGCGCAGAGAACCAGGCAAAGTTCCTTCTGACCTAATGGCACAGCCTGCTCCAGCTCCGATCCGACTCAGGCCACCTCAGGAATCTCATGGCACCACTGGGGTCTCTCTGCAGC